TGATTGCCATGCTCCACACAGCACAATAAAATACTATAACACTATCGTATCCCTTTAGGCATCACAGCTCAACAAATGATAGCTGTTTAAGGCTGTTCTCTGTTGCTTGTTAATGTGACTCCTTCAGTCTATCTTCTAAGTCTCTTTCTGCTTAGTTTTTCTGGTAATCTGGTAATCCTAGTTTCAGCTTCATAGCAAACGGGTCACCCCACATATGCTCCGCTCCTGTGCCAACGAAAAACAAACGCAGCTCACAGTGTCACGCCATGCACTCAACTCAGAAGCTGGGCGACGAAACAACATCCTTCCAGTCTACAAATGGAGCAAAAATGCAACGACCACCGTCTGGCAAAAAAAAAAAAAAAATATTTGCCACGGCTTTAAAAAAAAAAAATTTAAAAAAAAAGGGTGGCCGTACCTAGCGTCCATTTTGACCGGAAGAATTATATGAGGGTTAATAAACGGTCACCCCAGCAGTACCCTCATTATTAGCTGGGGAAGGGATTTAGGACATTACATCCACCAGCAGGCGTCGCCCCTACAACGACCTGCCTGCCATCGTTAACGACTGTTCACCCAACAGCCATGCAGTTCTTTGGCACGAAGGAGACACCTTGAACTTGGGTTTCGTACTGCTTAGTTTTTCTATTTTCATCTTGTACGCTGTCCCTGTCTGCATCATTAGGTTCATAATCACAGGTGGCCAAACCATTGTAGTCTTTGTTTCTCAGGTATTTTACTGAAGGGTATTGTTCTGATAGGTCTGACTCTTCGTTTCTCACTGATTTCTTTCTGGTTTTGTTCAGAGCCTGTTTTTAGCACATATTCTTGCTGGTAGTTCATTTTCTCCTGCGTTTTCTGGTTAATGTCAAAGTCTGACACTGGTAATCTAAGATTGAAATAAAGATTTTGTTTATGGTCGTTTAATCTTAGTTGTTCATCTGTGTTGAAATGGTCAGGTGTCTTGAGATTATGTAAGTTTATACTCAGCATTGTTGGCTTTTTAGATTCTAGTTTCTGTATCGGACCCCCTAGCTTCATAAAAATTTCACTTATGAACAAAACAGCACAGTCCACGAAACTAACCCATGACCTTCAGAGTGTGAGGCAAATAGCTTAACCGTTTAGTCATGGAAGAACTAGAAATTAGTCATAGAAGAACTAGAAGTTAGTTATGGAAGAACTAGAAATTAGTTATGGAGGAAGTAGAAATAGGATGAATGTCTGTTTGTACATGACAACAACTTTAGATGCTGTCTCCTTGCTTTCAGATTTTGTCTCCCTGCTGGGATGAGGTAGAGACAGATGAAACTGTACTGAGAACTTGGGAGGTTGAATCTCCACATGATTACCTGAATCACTCCAATGTTGTGCAGGTATGTACATGGATAGTAAACTCTGGCCTAGTCAGTCATAATTCAGCGACACATGTACACAGATGTTGTTATGTCATTTTAAGATCACAACAGAATATATTTTCTTCTTCTTCCTCATCTGCTTCTTCCATTTCTTCTCTTCTCTTCTCTTCTCTTCTTTCTTTCTTTCTTTTCTTTCTTTCTTTCTTTCTTTCTTTCTTTCTTTCTTTCTTTCTTTCTTTCTTTCTTTCTTTCTTTCTTTCTTTCTTTCTTTCTTTCTTTCTTTCTTTCTTTCTTTCTTTCTTTCTTTCTTTCTTTCTTTCTTTCTTTCTTTCTTTCTTTTTCTTTCTTTCTTTCTTTCTTTTTCTTTCTTCTTTCTTTCTTTCTTTCTTTCTTTCTTTCTTTCTTTCTTTCTTTCTTTCTTTCTTTCTTTCTTTCTTTCTTTCTTTCTTTCTTTCTTTCTTTCTTCTTCTTCTTTTTCTTCTTCTTCTTCTTCTTCTTCTTCTTCTTCTTCTTCTTCTTCTTCTTCCTCTTCTTCTGTTGTTCTTATTTTTCATTGTCTTGTAATAGTTTAATAACTTGTCCTTCTTGAGATAGTTTGAATAATGGCAGGAGTCACTTTTTTTCCTTAGATGTTCCACTGTCCTGGTGCCTCAAAACTGGTTGTAGACTTTGATCCAAGATGTGAAACAGAGAGAAGGTATAAAACATTTGTTGTTGATCATAGATATGAGGAAAAGGGGGGGGGGGGGCCTGGGGGTAGCTAGAGAGCGGTACTTGCATTACTGTCAAGCCTCCCAGCCGACCCAGCCTAAAATAGGTATCAGATAATGTCCTCCTGTGGAGTAAAAGTGGCTGGTGTGATGTCAACTACGTTAGTCATCAATTACTGATTGGTCTATAGAAACATAGGTTTAGCACTGTATGCCTGATACACCAAAGGTATGCAGGGAATCATTTTTATAAATGTCATTAAAAAAAAGAGAATGCATAGTATATACAGTACTGATTATAGCTGAGAGAGTGAGTGTGTGTGTTTAGAATATTTGTTAATAACGAAAAATAACAGATATGTGGTCAGTTGCCAAGCCATTTGTCTCATATTCATATTTGGTCCACAAGTGCATTTTTATTTAGATCGCTGAGGGTCAAAACTGGAGCTGTGGAGTTTATACTCTGGATGCCATACATAGAGAGCCAAATGGGATAAAACTCTGTTTAGTCAGGTCAAACTTTCAAGTACTTGGGAGTAATAAAAAAAAGAATCGACCCACTACCCCAAACAAGCATGTAATAAAATTCAACCAAACCGGAGTGTTTCCTTCAAAGTCGGAGTACATCTATCTGAGATGCGAGGAACCAAGTCTGCATACAGATTAAAAAAAGTCTGTAAAATAGATGTGCATATAGAACTTCACTTCTGGGAAAAGTCCAGAAGTGGACAAAAAAACCAGAATGGCATGGAGGGGTGTCAGCACATGAACAGATACACGCAGTTGCGGATCACAGATTGTGGAGAGGCATGGTCGCAACGCCAGTTGGCAAGGCACTTGTTGATTATGATGTATTTCTTGCCAAGGTTTGACTGCCTAGATTTCATATATCTGTATTTTGTGTCCAGGTATGACTGCCAAGATTTCACATATTTGTATTTTGTGTCCTGGTTTGACTACCTAGATTTCACATATCTGTATTTCATATCCAGATATGACTACCTAGATTTCACAGATGCCAAGGGTCTGAAGCTGAGATTTGACCAGAAAGTGGGCACCCCCAAATGGCCTAGAAAGGTGACATTCAGCGGACCGTATCTGGGGTTCATGTTTCATAGTGACAGCAGCAACACAGAATGGGGATACAAGTTCACAGTAATGATTTGTTCTGTTTTGAAGTTTTTTTTTTTTTCTTATATAACATGTTCACCTCCATTTATGGCTTCTGAGGTCCCAATATTTTTGGGGGGGGGGGGGGGGGGGGGGGGGGGGGGGGGGGGGGGGGGGGAATTACCCACTGGCCCGTAGAGAGGGCTTGGAAGACACACAAAAATACATTGAGCAGCTAAATGGGGACATTTGACGAACCCCTCCTATCTCCATCCGCAACAAGTTAGGGGTGTTCCTTCATAGTCAGAGTTTATCAGCCTGAGAGGCAGGGAACCAACAGTCTGCAGAAAATAAGCCAGATATGTCAAATGGATGTGCATGTAAAACTGAAGTTCTCCATCAAGACCAGAGTCTAGGAGTGGATGAACAACCAGAACTTTTCCCTGGAGTTTACAGCCAGGGAATGCTAAGAAGAAGTGTTTGAGAATATGACATGGTGAGGCTGTACTTGTATTCTCTTCCACAGGTGACTTTCTTCTCACTGTCCGAACAGGACCATCTGTTTCTTCATCTATTTTTTTTTTAAAATTAAATCACACTGTTATCGGTGGTTACCAGTTTGTTAGGGTTTTTCTGTTGTCTTGTGCTTTTCATGTGGCTTAACCCTTTTGCCCAGTGAAATCCTAAACAGTGACCTATTTAAAATTTCGTTAATTCTGTGAAACTACCCAAAGAAACTAGAGGAAGAGAATAAGAAGCAGAGTAAATTTGGAATCTTGCTGAGGGTTTATAAAACTCCAGGGGGTTGAAACATATGACCACCAAGTAGACGGGCAAGCCTATAGGAGTTTTGTTGACACAGCCACAGAGAGTACAGTAACATCATTATAAGTTTATTGGGACATAACAATGTCTCCCCCCCCCCCCCCCCCCCCAATGTATATATAATTTTTTGATGTTTGTATTTCATGACTAAATGTGATGTATGTTTAATTCTGTCTCCCCCCCCCCCCACCCCCTTTTCTCCACTTTCCCCCTCCCCTCCCAATTAAAAAAACAATGTTTCACATATACTTTCAAACCCACCATGTCTACACACCTTGTAGCCACAACCAAAGCTGTTATGTACGGGTATTGGTCACTGCATGCTATGTCATTAAAAACCTGTACAAGCAGAGAAACTGGCTTTCTACATGTGAAAGGGTTAAGTGACAAATTTTCTAATCTTTTTCTGTGTCCAGCTACACTGTGTATCTATTTCTTTCTTTGTCTTCCTCGCGCCTTCTTTCCAGAGATCCTACTGCAAAAACGTCTCATAAACAGTTTAGTCTGGCTGCATTCTTACTAAATGGTCAAACCATTTCATTCTTTGACTGGCTGAAAGAACAGTCTAAGCCAGTGGTTCCCATTTTGCTAACACCTAAAGACATGACTTATTTTTGAAGGTCTGCCATGAACCCCTATACTTTTTAATAGTTATACTGAAGAACCTGTACTTAAAGATTTATAAAATGTTTTCGCAAAAGAATTTCCTTCTAAAGCTAAATTAGTATTTGTGTGTGTGCATGCGAATGTATGCAAGAGCACTCACACATGTGAGAGAGAGAGAAAGGATATTATGAACTCGTTAAATTGTCCCTTGGTTCCCTGACAAAAGGAAAACACTGCCCTGATCCAACTAAGCAAATCACTGAGAAGTTTTGAATCTGACAGTTGTGGATCTATGTTCGTTACCAAAAAAAAAACCGATAAGCAGCAGATAAGAAAAGACTCAGTGCTTGCAGTATGACATAGTATCCCTTTTGTGTGTGTATCATTAAAGGTGACCGCAAAAGGTGTGCCTGATGTTCCGATGTCATGGATGACCGACCTGCAGCTGGGGCTTATCAAAATTCTAGGACAGCTGGCTGGATGCACATTGAGTTCTAATCCAAGTAGGTATCAAGTGTGTAGAAGTGGGAAGTGTAACACCTGTAGTGTAGTATTAAGTGTGGTAAAGTGTGAAAAATATAAAGTGTGGTGGGGCATCTGAGTAGTTAGAAAATAGCTATTTTTGTGTGTGTGTCATTCAGGTGTAATAATTCGCTCTATGCATTTAGCAGTTGCATAGCTATGAGGTAGATTGTGACCCGTGTATAGTAAATTGCTCAGACGTCAAGGTGTGTGGTGCTAGACTTTGAGGGAGACCCCCAGCAAGAGAGTTGGTCACCTCAACAAAGTACCAATGACTTTATTTGGTAAATATTAAAAGCTATAATAAGGTACATTTTTTTAGGAGCAAGGAATGTATTCCATTTAATTCTGTATTCCATTTTTGTTTGTGGATTACTCCCCGTGGTATATTTCTTTAAAACAAATGTTTCCAAAAATAAATAAATGAACAAGTTAATTGTGACCTTTATAAATTTGTATTCTTTTAGTGGTGGGAAAGGGGGGAGGGGTGTGTTGTGAATATCACGAGAGAGAGAGAGAAAAAAGAAAGAAAAGAGGGGTCAGTGGTTGGGATTTTCCTGATTTTTAGGCTTTTTTCCAGTGTGAAAGGGTTGAAACCATGTTGACAGTTAATACTATGCAATTTTTAAACACCATTTATGTCTCTGGTATTTACTTAGGAAATGCCACCTATGTGTGTTGTGTTTACTTCAGGAAACGCCACTTATGTGTGTAGTATTTACTTCAACAAACGCCACCTATGTGTGTGGTATTTTTTTTTAGAAACGCCACCTATGTGTATGGTATTTACTTCAGGAAACACAGCTTATGTGTGTTGTATTTACTTCAGGAAACACCACTTAAGTGTGTGGTATTTACTTCAGGAAACACCACTTATGTGTGTGGTATTTACTTCAGGAAACGCCACTTATGTGTGTGGTATTTACTTCAGCAAACGATACTTATGTGTGGTATTTTTTGTGGAAACGCCACATATGTGTGTGGTATTTACTTAGGAAACACCACTTATGTGTGTCGTATTTACTTCAGGAAACACCACTTATGTGTGTAACATTTACTTCAGCAGACACCACTTATGTGTGTGGTATTTTTTTCCGGAAACGCCACCTATGTGTGTGGTATTTACTTTAGGGAAGGCCACTTATGTGTGGTATTTACTTCAGGAAATGCCACTTTTGTGTGTGGTATTTACTTAGGAGTCGGCTCTGTGGCTAAGTTGATGCGAACGCTTCGTAATGCCGAGATGCCGGATTCAATCCTAACTGCGGGCCACGTGCCTTGCGTTGGTTCAACAGTGGTATCAAGAAAGCCGACCGCCCAGAAAGCAATGGCAAACTACTGGACGTAAATTTGCCTAGAGAAACCACACAACAGCCAGGGGCTGCTAGGGTTGGTTCTGCAACGTCCTGTAAAGGATACGCAACTAACCTTTATTTACTTAGGAAACACCACATATATGTGTCATTTTTAATTCAGAAAATGCTTCTTATATGTGTGGCATTTACTTCAGCAAACACCACTTATGTGTGTTGTATTTTCTTTTAGAAACGCCTCCCATGTGTGTAACATTTACTTCAGCAAACACCACTTATGTGTGTGGTATTTTATTTCGGAAACGCCACCCATGTGTGTGGTGTTTACTTCAGGGGGGGCGGGGGGCGCTTATGTGTGTCGTATTTACTTCAGGAAATGCCACTTTTGTGTGTGGTATTTACTTAGGAAACACCACTTATGTGTGTCATATTTAATTCAGGAAATGCCACTTATATGTGTGGCATTTACTTCAGCAAACACCCCTTGTTTGTATGGTATTTTCTTTCAGAAATGCCACCTATGTGTGTGGTATTTACTTCTGGAAACGCCACTTATGTGTATGTTATTTACTTCAGGAAACACCACTTTCTTGTGTGGTATTCACTTCAGAAAACACCACTTATGTGTGTGGTATTTACTTCCGGAAATGCCACTTTTGTGTGTGGTATTTATTTCAGAAAACACTACTTATGTGTGGTATTTACTTCAGAAAACGTCCACTTATGTGTGTGGTATTTACTTCAGGAAACGCCACTTATGTGTGGTGTGGTATTTACTTCAGGAAACGCCACTTATGTGTGTGCTATTTACTTCAGGAAACGCCACTTATGTGTGGTATTTACTTCAGGAAACGCCACTTATGTGTGGTATTTACTTCAGGAAAGAATGGAAGTTGCTTCTCTCAGACTGATTTCTATTTCCTTTTCCAGCTGTGCCACATGATCCTCCAGGAGGTTGTGATGAGTCGTCTGAACAAGACATTCTCCGGAGTGATTTGTGGACATCTCTGTTTAGAGGTGGATACATGGTTGGAAAGTTACAGAGGTCCTTGTCTGGGAAATTTGTGAGTATGAGTGTGCTGTCTCCTTGTCCTCATCCTCAGCATGAAGTAAGTATGGTTGGGATGGCACTTTTGACTCTAGATTTTAGAAACATGAAAACCCTGAAAACATGCATTTTTCCTGTGGCAGCTGATGTCAGTCGTGGACTATTTCGCAGTTACTATAAGAGAATGAGGGTTTTTAAACTTCAATCTTACAGGAAAATTCTTAAAACAACATGGACCAGGAAGAGAAAAAAAATATTGGCATTCTGAACAATTGAGAGGGACTGGTTCATAAATTGTATTTTTTTCCTCATAAACTGAAATACTTTGGCCATAGTAAACACCATAATGGCTTACAGAGAGCTTTATTGGAGGGTATGGTCCATGGAAGAAGAGGTAGGGGATGATGAGGGGACACATGTTATCAAGGACACCATGGACAGGGAGCCAAGTGGCTTTCTGGTTTGCCATGATAAGAGCGACTTACTGCAAAGGACCTACTAAATTATGGTTATTGTCATAATATTCTCTCTAAGTGGGTTCTGGGGCTTTATTTTGGAGAATACAGAATAGACCTACTGCTCCCTAACAAGCATGTCATAGGAGGCAACTGATTGTTGTGGCTTAAAAGTCAGAGTATGTCTGCCTGAGAGGCAAGAAGCCAACAGTCTGCTTGCAGAAAAGACAGATCTGTAAAATGGATTTTCACGCAAAACTAAGTTCTGAATCAAGACTAAGGTCCGGAAGAGGATGAACAACCAGAACTTTCTGCCGGCATTTACAGCATGTGAATGATAAGATTAAGATTATAGCACTCTGGAAAGATCCACAGGTTCTCTGATCTCTTCTCTGGCTCCAGATAATAAAATAACTGATCACCCCCGTTCTGTTTTGATGGATCAAATTTCTTCCCCTAGTGAATGTTCTTGTTTAAATACTCCAGGTGATACTGCCATATTCATCAGCCTGGACTGGGATGTGCAGTCAAGCTTATCTATTACCATTATCATCTTGGTGATGTGCATCTTGTATGGCAATACAAGACTAGTTCATAATAACCGGGGCCCACCAGATAATCTATGTGCTCATACAGTTAACACATTCTGACCATCATTGGTCTTCCAGCTCTATTTCCCCTTTATGTATTTTCCATTTCAGGGAATAGTATTTTATGTATCTGATTATTTTTATAGAGGGGAAAATACTTTTGTATGGTCATTGTATAGTTATGTTTTGTGTATCTCTAAAGAGGGAAATATTTTTATTTGGTCATCATATGGTTGTTTTGTGTATTTGATTGTTTTTCTAAAAGAGGAAAACATTTTTCATCAGTGTATAGTTATGATGGATGAATCTGATTATTTTTCTGTAAGGGAGGTTATATTGTATCGACACATAATCATCAGATTGTTTCTACATTCAGGCAACAGGCGATGAGAGTCGAGTTCACTCATTTCTCTTGGAAGTTGCAAGTTTGGGAGGCAAGAAAACAGATGAAGAAGAAGGCAGTGGAGATGACAGTCTGAAGAAACAGGCCACATACTTTCTTGCCAAGTAAGCATTTATGTGTAGTCTAAATCTCTCAGCTCACATTATTGTGTTTTATGTGTGTGTTTGTGTGTGTGTGTTGTTTAAAAAATGTATATCTTCTCTCTTCTGGTCTCATGCAATGCACCATGTTGGGCCTGCTATTGTCCATGTGTGCCAACCTATGCCTATTGTGTTGTTACATCTTTAAAATTTGGTCTGCGTATACTGACATAATCTGGCCAAATATGCTGATATGCTGTACAATATGCGCTGCTTCTGTGAAAGTGTTAAATTCACCTTGTTTGTTGTGCTTAGGGTCCTTCTTCACTTAATTTAATGCAGCAGAGTCTTATGGGATTCAGCGAGCTCATGCAAACAATAGCTTACAATGTATTTATGATTCCAGCATGTGAATCTAAAGTGAATTTTAAATTGAAACGTCACAAAGATGGGAAAGAAAAACACCTAGCTTGTACAGAGGAAGGCATTAGCAAGACTTCTCTTTGTGCATGATCAGTACCACACTGTAATGTTTTTTACAGTTTGTTTTTTATAGCCACTAAGGTCAGAATACCACATGAAGAGTTCAGGCAGGAGAAATAGAGATAGGGGCAGTGGCTACTACCCAGAGGATGACTTAAATCAAGAAACTGGAGATAAGAGATCGTTACCATCCAGAAATGGCTGATAATTTATTAGCCCTGTTAATCTGGTCACTACCGGCTGTGACACAGTCCCGTAAACCAATTGTCACACAGTCCCATAAACTGATTGTGACACAGTCCCGTAAGCCAGCTGTGACACAGTATCGTAAACAGGTTGTGGCACAGTACCATAAACTGGTTGTGACACAGTCCCATAAACTGGTTGTGACACAGTCCCATAAACCGGTTGTGACACAGTCACATAAACTGGTTATGACACAGTCACATAAACCGGTTGTGACACAGTATCGTAAACAGGTTGTGGCACAGTACCATAAACTGGTTGTGACACAGTCCCATAAACTGGTTGTGACACAGTCCCATAAACCGGTTGTGACACAGTCACATAAACCAGTTGTGACACAGTATTGTAAACGGGTTGTGACACAGTCCCGTAAACCGGTTGTGACACAGTATTGTAAACGGGTTGTGACACAGTCCCATAAACCGGTTGTGACACAGTCCCTTAAACCGGTTGTGACACAGTCCCATAAACCAAATGTGTCGCAGCCTGTAAACTGGTTGTGATGCAGTCCTGTAAACTGGTTGTGACACAGTCCCATAAACCGGTTGTGACACAGTCCCATAAACTGGTTGTGACACAGTCCCATAAACCGGTTGTGACACAGTCACATAAACCAGTTGTGACACAGTATTGTAAACGGGTTGTGACACAGTCCCGTAAACCGGTTGTGACACAGTATTGTAAACGGGTTGTGACACAGTCCCATAAACCGGTTGTGACACAGTCCCTTAAACCGGTTGTGACACAGTCCCTTAAACCGGTTGTGACACAGTCCCATAAACCGAATGTGTCGCAGTCCCATAAACCGGTTGTGACACAGTCCCATAAACCGGTTGTGACATAGTCCCGTAAATCCTGATATATCAGCCTCTGCAGTGACCTGTTCTCGAAAAGTATAGTTACATTCCTTCTGTTCTGTGTGTGCATGGCCGCAGTGTTTAGTAGTCCAGGATAATAGCGGGGGGGGGGCTCCTATGACTCCAGTGGCTTTTTAAAACTAAATATTTATGTAAAATTATTTTGTAAATATCAGTGATAGAGTTTATGGGGTCAGGGCATGAGTCACCTGTTACATATTGTTTCTTAGGCCTGGGAGAGGGTATTCCATTTAATCCTTCATTCTGTTGATGTTTATTATATAGATATTTTTTATTTAGAAACTTAGTTATATAATACATTTTAGTACCATTTTTTAGTGACCAGTGTAAAGTAAATTAAAATAAAAGGATTTTCCCACAGGAATTTCTATAGGCTCATGACTTGTTTTTAAAGTGGTTTTTTTTCAGCACTCGTGGGGTGAAACGTTGAAGAAAGTGTAGAGGGGGTGGGGGGGGGGGGGGGTTGTACAAGTAAATAATATTCCTCTCCTTCAGTGATCACTTAGCCATGCATTTATTCCAGCATGGGTAATCAACAGGATAGTGTCCTTGAGGTTATCAGTGGTCCCTCATAGTTTGGCTCTATAGATGATTGTTTCCTTGGAGATAGCTCATTCTGTTTTGGAAAATGCTAAGGTGTCCTATGTGATGTTATCTGATGTATGCTTGACTTCTCTACAGTATCAGATGATTGAATTTATATGACTCAGTCATGTAAAGGTATGCATTCAGGTATTTCCTTACAGTCCTCAGACTGAACTGGCATGACAGTTTTATGCTTTGAAAACAAAAATATGAGTGATGTGACGATTGTCAAATCTATGACTATACTCACTGCATCAGTTGTATTTCTGAAATACAAGTGAGGCACTCCTTTCAAGACAGGTTTTTTTTTTTTTTTGCACCTTTTCCATCATGTTTGATGATAGTGTTATATTGTGCTACGGGATGGCATGAGAATTCCTGCTCTTCATAGCACAAAACCTGACACAGAGACCATGAGTTGTCCCATGCATCATGATCCCTCACTCGGCCTGTCTTGTTTACTCTAAAGGAAAGGTATCACCAGTACATTTAATGAAAACCATAAAAGGGTTAGCGAAGTTAGTCACAGACAGTCTAGATGGATACAAATGTTGTATCAATAAATACATTTCACAACTACCAAACTTTATGAAAAGAGATGAGGGTAAAAACAGAGATAAATGTATTGGTGGCTTGATCAAATGCCATTGGCAGGACAAGAACACAGACCAGTCTGTGATTTTGGTCATTGCCAATAATTTTTAGCATAGCAGATAATGGTGATTGCATGAAATACAGTTGTGTATTATTTTTCAAAGTTTATTATAACAAATATCGTTCTTCTTGGCTTTAGGTGTCAAGAGATCATGAAAACAAAAGCATCAGTGTTGATTGGAGGTCCCAAGGTCGATGCAGCAATTATCTCCCTCTTTGTAGCTTTGGTGTGGCATTGCCAGCAGCTTCGTGAGGATGTGGAAAAATTCTGTAAGTAAGATCCACTTTAAAACTTGTCTGTAGCATGTTTTATTTCTTCTGCTTCTTCTGCTTATTATTCTGCTTCTTATTCTTCTTCACGATTACGGCTGTAAATTTAGATAGTGTGTTCTGGTTGTTGTCCACTTCTGGACTTTAGTCTTGTTCTAGTACTTGAGTTCTGCTTGCACATATAATGTGCAGATCTGGCTTATTTGTACTCATACTGTTGGTTCCTTGCCTCTCAGGTAAATTCACTCTGACTTTAAAAGAAACCCCTAATTACTCGACTTATATGGCATGCTTGTTAGGGAGTCTGTGGGACTATCTTTGTTTTCCCCCACAGTGGGTCCTGAAGCCCACACAGGAATGTCTATTTCCATTGCAGGGTCTCTTCAAGTGTCTTGTTACTTCACACACAAGGGAAAGCTACCAGTCATTTCTTTTCAGTATTAACATACAATGAGGCATTAAGACAGCTACAGAAGCCCTGTACACTCATAAGATTGTTGCTAGACTACCAGAAATAGGAAACTCACCAGCACTCAGCAATAGTTGTTGAGAGAGTGATGTCCCATTAGTGCTCAGTAATCCTTGTGAGCAGACATGAATTTTTTTTTTTTTCAGTTCCGACCTTTTGTTAAATTGTTTGTCTCTGTCATTGTTCAGCTCAGTAAATGTCTGTTTCAGTGACTTCTGGAGAGCAAGCAGAAATCTCTGAGGGTATCAGTCAAGCCTACACCACTGCAGAATCTGCAAGAATACAGCTGGTTAGTGATCAAACATTGTTGGATGCTGTCTTTTTCTGCCTCTGCCCTTTTTTCCCCAATGAAGCATCGGCCCTGAACCAGCTTCTGCCAAGTCATTGAGTCCCTTGTTATCACATGCAGCTCACCTTCATCTCTTTAGCTTCAGTCTCTAGTTCCTCTTTGGCATGCATTTTTTGTTGGAGGGAGGAGAAGGCGTCTGCTTTTATCTATTATGTCCATGTGGGTTCCAATGGAAAAACAATCTGCAGAAATCTTGGAAGGTATCAGCTATGCCTACAGCATGCAGAATCTGCAAGAATAGAACTGGTAGGTGGTTTTTGTTAGAATTTTGATTAATGTTCTAATCTTGTTTGTAACTATCAGTACACATTTTATAAGAAAGAACACAAGAAGATTCTTACATCTTCTCCCAAAACCTTGCTAAGGTGCTTGAAGGAAGAAAGGACAAAAAAAAAAAAGGGAAAGAAGGTCTTGAATGCAGGCTGCAGAAAGAATTATTGTAGTGATGCATGAATGCTAGTTTTAGTTAGGTAACTAGAGAGAAACAGACTTTTGTGTTCACACTTGGGTGTTTCATTTCAGGCAAGTGAGAGGCAGAAGTGGAATTCTTCAGAAAACAAGGATGAAGATCTTGATCCAGGTATTGTAACATAACTATTCTGTATTATAAGTAAGTAAAGTAAAGGTCCCTTTTCCACACCTTTAAGCATATAGGGCTAGACCTATATTTTTATAGAACAATCGGCACAAGATGGGTGATGTGGTCAGCATCACGCCGGCCGCCTTTACTTCCTGGGACTGCAGCCGGTACCCACTCAAAGCTGGGGCGACCAGGGAGTCAAGGTCATTTTTGAAAAAAATGTATTATAAGCGCCAGTCATAAATTAATCAATTAATAAAATTAATTCATGTGAATGGTGCATCGGGCATATAGTGTTAGACCTGTATATTTTTGTAGACCATCTGGCACATAATAAGGGTGGTCAGCATCATGCTGGCTGCCTTTACTCCCCTGGACATTTCCTGACACCCATCTTTGCTGGGTTGATCTGGGAGCCAAGGTCAGTTTTGAAAATATTACCTCGATACAGATTTGAAGCCCAGACCTTTGAGCCAACAGAAAGGTGTCTGGCCACTACACTGTTACAGCTTCCCAAGTACCCTGGAGTGTGATTTGTTATTTGTTGTCCATAGTTAAATTGAGTTGAGTTGAGTCAAGAATTTACATCACAGCACTCTGGGCATTCCCATATGCGCTCCATCCCCATCCTCAGTAGCCAGCGCAGAGTTCCAGTAATAATGATGCCGGTCGTAGTCTGGTTATATGTCTGTCTTGCCTTTCCTCTTAAGTGTAGTGTGCTGGCCGAACACTCTGGCCACACCCAGGTGCATTGTTTGCTCCAGTTCATGTTCATATCGACATCCTAACACATTCAGTCCCATCCACCCATGCTCTGTCCTGCGGTGCAGTCACTTCAGTTTCTTCATGCTCAACATACCCAGTAGGAGTTGATTGGCATATCTTCTTTCTTTTCCCCGCAACCAGTTTTCTGCATGCTTGTCCTCATTTAATACTCATTTCCAACTGGTGGTTCATTGTCTCTGACTCCCTTATCTCAGTGTCTATGAAACACAGAGCATTCAGTATGTCTGCCCTGTCCATACATCGTCCTCCACTAACCACTGCAGACATGGCCAATAATCTATTTCAGTGTAAGGGTGCGTAAAAGATAATCACTTGCCTATGGCATGGCTTGTAAAGAACAGAAACATGTGTGTAACATATAAACTTGGAGTTGGCATTCCATTAGGATAATATGAGTAAATCTTTTTCTTCTTCTTTGCATTCACCAGCTGTAAACTCAGGTGGAAAGTTCTGGATGTTCATTCACTTCTAGACTGCAGTCCTGTTCCAGAACCTGAGTGCTGCGTGTGCAGACTGTTGGTTCCTTGCCTCTCAGGCAGATGCAGTCTGACTTTGAAGGAAGCTCCCAATTAGTCGACTCTTACAACATGCTTTTGGGTAGGCAGTGGGTCTTTTCTTGTTTTCCCTATAATAGGGCTCCGGAAATATGAGTAGCAGTTCAATACTCATTGCAGAATGTGTTGGACTCAACAAAACAATCATATAAATTAGGGAGGATCCAGACAGCTCTGGGCCAGTGTCTTTTGTTCTGAACAAACTCCAGAACATATCTTGCAAGACTGTCATTTCCTGGAGGAGCTTTGAAACATGTGGCTACACCCTGTAAGCCTGAAAAACTAAGCTTTGGGGAACCTAAGAGGCTTCGAGTTGATATCCTAGTTCATGGCCCACACCGGATTAAGCACATGACCTGAAATTGCAGAAGAAGAATATTTTATAAGGACACCAGCCTTGTACTTATTCTACATAGTCCTTAGTACCTGCACTCACCTATGCCATCATGTTTGCTTGGTCAGGTGACATGTACTAATGCCCAGTGCGTTTGTAGTGATAGCAGATCATTAGCAGAACTAGTAATGCATTCATCATCATCATTAGGCTGTTGTGCTATAATAAATCACATAAAGCTCACAGTCTAGTCCTCCATTCTGTTCTGTCCAGTACAGTCCTCTCCATATCATGCATGGAATCTTTGTTGTCCAACATCTTTGGCTTCTCTTTCTTAGCGATTTCTTGGACATCCTTCTGTCCTCAGTCCATTTGTTTCCTGTTTCAGTGCCTGTTTATCGATTGTCTGTTTGACTTCTCTTCCTGATGTGCCCAGTATATTGCCAAATTCTTTTATTGCATTATACAACTTGGCCTGAATTGTTGGAGGGCTTGTTCTCCATTAGACAATGAACAGCTGAAGTAAATATACAGTGAAACATTCACAGAATGTTTATCGTTAACTGTTGGCACGTCTGTTTAGAATCAACAAGTAAATAGCGTTTTTGTCTCTTTCAGCGGAGATCTTGTCTGCCAAAGCTTTGTTCCTGCTGAAGTTTGCTGGGCTAACCAAAGTACAGCTCAGGCAAGAGGTACTGCTAGGAGTTTCTTGTTTATTTGTTTGTTTTTGTTCTGGGAGGTTTTTTTCTTCTTCTTTTAAATGAGGTACTGCCATTGTATCCAGTTTTTTAATGAGCTACTGCCATTTCTTTCTTGTGATTTTTGTCTGGGAAGTCTGATTTGTCTGGGTTTTTCTTTAAAAAAGGGTAAAGGGTCCCTTTCACATCTTTGGCACATCCTTACTAAATTGGGCATATAGTGATATGATAGACCTTTACTTGAGTAGATAGTCAGTTCTCGATGAGTGACAGGGTTGGCATCATGCCTGCCACCTTTACTTCCCAAGGCATTACCTGGTACCCATTTAGGGCTGGATCCAGCGAGGAGTCAAGATCAATTTTGAAAATAAACTGTCACGATGGAGATTTGAACAGTTGACCTTGAGGCCAGCAAGCCAGTCTGATTTGATTGTGAGCTACTGAAAATAAAGAGAATAGGGGCTTTTGAGCTGAAATGCTATAGAAAGATTCTCAGAATATCTTGGACAAAGAAGATGAGAAATATTGACAACTTAAAAGATCTGAACATCAAGGAATGTGGTACTCCTGTCAAATCCGGACGAAGACTAAAAAGCCTTGGACGACTTAGTCAGAGTTCTCTCCCGTGGCCGCATTCCAAACAGTGATCGGAAAAGCCACAACGAAACAAAGTAACAACCGCATGATGATGACTACACAACCATTCACAATGCCTCACGAAACCGTACGCAGCCCTACACACAACCGCAGGATGATAGGTAAGTGTGTCGTTTATTTCCTTTGTTTTCCGATTACTGTTCGGAGTGCGGCCAAGGGAGAGAACTCTGACTAACTCGTCCACGTCTGTTTATTCTTCGTCCGGATTTTACAGGAGAGCCAGATTGGCTAATAAACAGCATCCTTTCTCAAAAGCTGAAATTTTTTGGTCTATCAAGCGCCACGATGGATTGGAAAAAAGTATAGCAGAAGGCATGGTACCAGGAAGGAGGGGCAGGGGCCGACCGACACGAATATGGGCACAGAATATAAGTGACTCCTTGAGTGTGAAAGTGCATGAGGCGGGAGAACTGGCGAGAGACCGAGTTTCTTTCAGGCAGACTGTGATGAGAGCGATGTTCTGCAAAGGACCTGCTACATGATGATGATGACTGAAAATAGCTTTCTTGTTTCATTTTCTGGAAACAAAAATTCACTGTCCCCATGTGGATTTGAGGAGCCCCTTTGGGAGGAAGCTATAAACCACAACACAGTGTGCCAGTTTAGGGTTGAATGCAGAAGAAGAGGACATTCCCAGATAAATGATATGAAAAACCTGAAACAGATATTGACTGTGAACCAGAATCACTTGTAGTAAAGTATCACTTTTCATGCCCTGGAATGTACTGGGTATATGATGCTATCCTCATATTTTGAGACTAGTCAGCACTTTATGCGTGATGAGGTCAATAATATGAGGATTTTCGGTGTCGTATTAGGCCTAGCTGGCATATTGGCGCCGATCAGTGACAGAAAAATCCTGTCTTGAAGGAGTATTAAAAACCCATGGCCAGCAGACCAGTATGTTAATTGTCAGCTGGGCAGTTGACATCATTGCACGGCCTGGAATTGCGAGAGTGTGTCGGTTTATACCACATCAGCATCATTGCCTTTGTCTTCAAAGTTGGAATGCATCTGCCTGAGAGAGGCAATACTACTAGCTATAAGGAAGTTTTTCTTATACTGTGATTCTGTCAAAGATGATTGTGTCAGGGACTTGTAGTAAATTTGTTGCTAATGATTTTAACTTAAATCAATTTCTTTCAGCTACGTACTAAGATTTCTAAGCAAATGATGTTGAAGAAAGCTGGCAATACCCGGCCCATTATGAGGGTAAGGTTGAAATTCTGTTTAACACTAAACAATGATGAAATATTGTGTCTGTCTACCTAGTCTTGCTATTAACTTCTTATGGATTTTCTTGGATCTTTCTTTTGTATTTTGATGCCATCAGAGCTTTTTTCTTGAAAGGTGTCACTCAACTCAGTTTCTTTTTTTAAAAGTTGTCGGTACTCACCACAAAATGTCTATTGCACCTGAAAAGAAATAGAGGAGATGGTACTGCATACTGTTGCGTACTGACAGAAAATTTGCCTGGACATTATGTTTCTAATCCCATTTTATCTGCATGTGTGTAATTCAAGATGGATAGCCAGACTTTTGTTTTATTCAATCCCTGAGCCAATTTTGTCATCACCTGTTATTTCTATTGTGTTTTTTAAATTGTATGTTAAAAACATTCAGTTCATTTTCTTTTATTTTGCAAGTTTCTTGTTGACTACAGTGGGTAATTTGTAAGTCAATTACAGACATACATCTGGTTGCAAAATGAAAAAAACATTTCCACAATTTTATTCTTCTTAAATTCTACATTTCTTGGGTTCTAATGTCAGATTGGTATTATTATATAGAGGTTTAACATTTAGAATATCTAAACCAATTATTAATAAACTACATTAATTAACCGGGGTCATCGCAGAATGGTCAGAATTCTAGTGGTATCACAAATGTAGAGCTTTGGGAGAGAACTAAACCACTTTCAGTGAAGAAAGGATGCAGGCATTTGATAGGACACATACTGGGAAAAAAAACTGATAACAGTATAAGTAGAAAATGCTTGCACTGGACCCCACAGGCTCAGAGAAATAAAAGCAGACCAAAAATTCAAATTGAAGAAAAAATGGAGAGGAGAATTAGAGAGTGAAGTTAAAAAGATGAGAAAAACGTGGGGTGAACTGCATGTACTGGCAAACGATAGGACAATCTGGTTTGAGTTCATCAAGGGCCTATGCTCTGTTAGGATATAAAGGGCAGAAGATGGAAGTTAATGATTTCGCCGGTTATTTTGCTTAGTTGCAGATGGCTTGCCCCAAACCCCTCTGTTTCTGTGCCAGTGGAAATCACACAAAATGTCCTTCACTGTCCAGTTTCAAAACTAGTGAAAAACATGTCAGTGGCAGTAAAATCTTTAAGCTTGCACTCAAAGTAAACGAAACAAAAATTTATATAGCAGCTTTCAGATGTGCCAGCACTAATGGTCCTACACCATAATTGCAACTCACTGTTGGTGGAAATGGTCAATCACAAAAGCAGTGTTGCACTGGCAACACAGAAAAAGTACACACATTCACGTGGAATCCACAGCTTGTGATGTAGCACACAACTCAGAAGCTGGTTGACAGAACCTTTGGGCAACGGTCGAGAAATTGGAAATGTGCATCAGCAAAACCTAGCTGGAAACAAATAACTTTTCAGAATGTCAGTGGTCAGCCGATAACTGAGACCTTCAAGATTTGAGATGCTGTTAAGTTTTAGTATTTATCTCTTTTTTCTTCTTGCTCTTTTCCCACCAGGTTTTTTAGTTTAGCATCTATAAAACTATATAGGTTTTGGAATTGCCAAGTTTTACATTTAAAAAAAGTTAGGTGTGTAATTTTGAAGGGACATTGCAGAACTCCCAAAGATTATTATTATTATTATTGTTATTATTTTGATGCTGTCTGGTTTTACTAGGCAGTTTTACATTAATTAGTTTGCTGTTGCTTTCTGAACAAAAATAACACAAAGCAGTCTGCTGCCTAATCACCCACAGTTAAACCAAACCGAAACCTTGGAATTTATAAATACATTCACAGTGGAAAAGCCACAAACACCGATAAGTTTTACTTAACAAGTGTTTATTCTTAAGAATAACAGTTACATAGATTATGTTATGTTGATGTTGCAGAATGAAGTCATGGATAAATATCCATCCTTTCGTCTTGTCGTGGAGTTTGTGCATGACCCAGCTTGGACATCTGAAAGGTAAGAATGGTGTTCTTTGCTGGGCAGTACAAATGTTGACTTAAGAATTGATATCACAATACTCAGGACATACCCATAAGCAATTCATCATCATCTTCAGCAGCAGGCATGGAGTTGCAATTCTGTTGACACCAGTAACAGTCTGATTGTATATTTGTTCCACCTTTTTCTTGCGTGTTGAGAGTCGGCAAGATTCCCTGGTCATTCCTCATGGCACCATTCTCCTCAGACCCTGATCATCTGTTTGTGCCTCCACAGCGTTCACTCATTTCCTGAAATAGCATGGAGAAAATATCTAAAGGGCTCTAGCTGCCCGGGACTTCTGAATGATGCTTGCCACTCTGCATGGAGCATACTTATCTCCACCTTTCTCAACATACTCTGTGAGGCAGTTATAATCATGACATTTTGTACAGCTGGTTCTCAGGCCAGTGGAAGGCTGCAGAGATTGCCTCCACTTCTATTCTCAGACTAGAGGTTGTATCACCAGGCTTTGTTGCACTAAGCGACATCCATCATCACAGTGTTTTCAGGTGCCTTTCGCCTCATGTCTTGACATATACATCCACAGTAGTAGTGTTATCTGTATCCTTTGTCTTCTTTGTAAAGTATTCATTGATGTATTCTGACCAGGGTGCACCAGATGCTTCAGGAGCGCACCAAGTTTGCATCAGCCATCAGTGACATTTACATGTTTGCTGCAGAAGTAATACGGGTCATGTCTAACAACAATCCATTCCAGGTGGGTCTCTGTTCGGTACTTGTCTTGGTTGTGTTTTTGTGTTTGTTTCTTACTTGTTTTATTTGTATTCACATTCTTGTTTTGCACTTATTTCTAACCACTGTGCCATCACAACTCCAAATATTTTTTTTTTTAATGATATAGCCCCATAGTTGTTGCCGTTGAGGTGTACTTGAAAATTCTAAAAATTGTCTGATTCATGTACTAGAACTGAAAACAGAACAGGCTTGGCAGACAAGCACATTTAATCTCTTTCTTATTTTGGTTTTTAGTTAAAGAACTGTTGAAAATCTGCTTTCTCAGAGATATCCAGAAACAAGGGGAAGTAAAACTCAGAATGCTAACTGTTATGCCACCCTAACTCCCAAAATCATTGTCAGCAACTCCAACTTTTGCTTGTAAGAATTGTGGGGAAGAATAATTTGCAGTCTGGTGCTCTGTTGCATCAATGGCTGTTATACAATTAAGGTATTATTAAAAATAAAATAACATTTTAATCTAGAAAAATGACTCCATATTCTTCTGGAACATTCTTCAGATCTCAGTGGTGCTGTTTTTCCGAGAGATGTTTGCCTACCAGGACAAATTTGCCAAGCACTATGCAGAGGGACTTGATGGCTGTGGTTTGGAGCAAGAATCTAAAGTACGTAGATCTTACTACGCTCTTGTCCGGAGACTTGTGGATGCTTTTAAAAACCCTCCTGGGCAAGAGATGGACAGGTAATGTTTAGTTCATGTTTAACAAATGATGATGTTCTGCAGGTTGAAAGTTAGTAAAAAGGTCAAAGTAATGCTTTGTCCCGTTGTAATTTTGAACAAAGAAGACACAAACAAGCCCATTGTATTCCCTGGCATATTCGAAAAATTCATTTAGGTGCTTTATTATATTAAATTTTTTTTACGTAATGTGCACCTGATGAGATACAGCAAAATATGCCAGGGCAATAAATTATGGATATGCAATACTTTTATCAAATTTAATGTCAGAGGTGATGAGCAAACAGATATGCTGGCCTCAATGACATTGACTCAGAGAATGCTTCTTCTTTTTATTCTCTCTGATAGTGTGTGTGTTTTTTTAGACAAGAAGGCCTTTGTGCCTCTATGAAAGCTGTGGTGCAGTGCATGCCATCACTTATCCATAGAGCTTGGCTTCCACTGGAATGTTGACGGGCCAGACCTGCATGTAGACAGCATTATGCGGCACATTTTCAGTTTTTGTTGGTGTCTGTCCACATGGACACATTTCCCTAAAGATGATCACTAGTATAGTAACAATCACTTTGAGCCTTTTTCTAAGAATGTCAGGTAATCACTTGTAGTAGGTACAGAATGTGACTAAAGGAACAGGCCTGACACATGCAAACATAATCCCATCTGGCCAACAGTCGTGAAGGGAGTTGATCAACAGACAACAGCAACTGGTGGTTCCATGACACACAGTGTTATGATATTATGATTAACAGTTATCATAGCCTATGTATTACCAGGGTCATTAGGAGAAACAAATAGCAATCAGAACAAAGAAGACACAAAGAACACCCAATACAATTTTTCTTTCTTTGTTTTGTAATCTACCCTGTTCTGCCCTTTAGCTTTGGGTTTTGAAAAGGCATCTGGTGAGAGCCTTGGTGTATGTTACATAGATGATGGTATTCCAGCCCCAGAATCCATCCATCATTGTGTGAGTGACCTCTAGCTATGCTTCTGTTATGTCTTGGGGATGTGATGCACTGACTGGCAGTAGTCTTAACTCATGTCTGAATCAGCTGATTTGTTGTCTCTGTTGTACTAGTGATAAAAAAACTATTTGCCATCTTGGAATTAAAAACTCTATATTATCATCTTATTTGTCATCTGTTAGTTGGCACCTTTTCCATTGTTCGAGATGATAATGTTTTATTGTGCTATAGGGAGGCATGAGAATCACATCCCATGGTGATGGCAAGTGCGAGTAGCAAGACCCGTTCCATTAAGACAATTCTTCCACAATTCTGCCTCTTCTTCCTATAATCTATGCAATGTGGCATTGGAAGTCATGTCTATCTGCTATCTCATGTACTGATGAGCTGCCATGCCATGATGTCAGACTGTGCTGTATCTGCTCTCTTCATCTCTCTCTCTGCCTCTTATCTCATGTAACTTTCCTCACTGTCATGATGTACTCCAGTTTTCTCCTTCTCGTGATGTGACCAAAGAATATTGTATGTCTCCTTCTGATATGGGTAATCAGTTCGCTTTGTGAGTTCATTTCTTTCAAGACATCATCATTACTTTCTTGATATGTCCATGATGTTCTCATCGTTCGTCTATAAAACACATCTTTACTTCTTCCACATAGTTCCTCACTGATCAGCTGTTTACATTTAACTTCCATATATCACAGTTGGCTCTATATAGCTTTTTAGAACTCCTTCTGCAGTTAACAGCATGTGATTTCAAGACCATAGTTGCCATTGTGTGTATTTAACATATTTTTTCTCACATGCTACTTAAATGTCTTCCTTATCTTTTGCCTTTAACCTATCTAACCTGTCATTTGTAATGGCTATTATTAATTTATTATGTATTTCTTTCTTTAGCAAACTGTTGCCTGCATATGATTTTATCCAATGCTGTTTGCTTCATTTGCTGGATATTGACTGGCAGGTAACTCTGGTTCAAAACACCATTGTTGTTGTGTGCATTAAATATTGATTGGTGTAAATTTGGTTTTCTTTTACCTAGGTAATTTAGAGGCTAGGGTGTTAAAGCGTTGGCATCTATATTTTAGGTGACAGTCACAAAGATAAATAGAAATGGATGATATCTGCAGCAGTGACCTCAGAGGCTCAGAATGTCGAAGAAGAAATATCTTCTTGGTAGCAGTTTACAAATTGCAGTCATGGAAAGTTTTACAAGCACTGAACTTAGAATGCAGTGTATAAGAAAAAATGCTAGCATGTTGCCAGATTAGACATCAAAGAAAACTGACTTTTAGAACAACATATTGCCTTCGACTTCTGTATTGGCCTTTTAAAGTTGGTTTGCATTTTGTGGTTTACATAGATTGGCTGCGAAATCTGTGTCTTTTGGCCCAACACATCCAGTTTCTGCAAATCCTAATTAGGCCTTGTTAGATCTTAACAAATGAAATACATTTTTCTATATTTAATGTCCTGAAAGCATAGATGACCAAGAAAGAGGAGGCAACATAAAGGTACACATAGGACATTGAAGACCCCCGGTAAGAAAAATATAAAAAAGAATTGAGGGCTGATTAAGGGTTTTTCCAGTGATCCATGATAAGTGTCATCGTCACCAAATTTTAGTCCTTTCTAAAAGTTGTGCCCAACTTTAAAAACCTGTAACTCAATATAAGCGTGGTCTTAGGGCATACAACCTGTTAATAATCATGTCCTTGTAGGAAAATCTAATCAGACATCTAGTTTTCATTTAGCCTTATTTGTGGTATATGAAAAAACAGATACTGATTCAAAGCATACAGTTAGCACATTTACAGTAAATGGCTAGAGGCGATGTTGGCAAACATCAAACTGCAAGTGTTTTGGAGGTAAACCATATAAAATTTAAGGTGTGCTTATATTGAATAGTGATGTGAGCACATTATGTACTACCATAATGCTTTTTAATTGGCCCATTACATGATTTGGGTCAGTTACTGTATTTTTGTTGGGGGAGGGGGGGGTTGCACAAATGATTAGTACCACAAAAATCAAAGAGATTCACAGCTGTAAAAAAGCAGCAGCACTTGTGCAGTTGTAAATTATAAAATGATAAGGACATGGGAAATCTAAGGCAATGTGCAAAAATGTATGTTGATCTGTACAAGAGTTTTCTAGATATTTGTTAGAAGTTTTGAATGGACTATACATGGTGCCGGATGTGTGTGTTTTTTTTTTAATTCCCCTGGGGACGGAGGGGGTTGTGGGAGGTTTTTTTGGTTTTTGTTTTTACTGAAGCTTCTCAGTTGCAGAGAGGTAATAATAAATTATTTGTGACATTTGGCAGCCCTATGACTTGACATTCGTCAATGAGATTCAGCTACCTCAGCTGCTGCTGAGCATTGCGAAAGGTATGTAGGAACTTTCCATCTTTATATTTGTGCGAGAGAGAGACACACACACACGCATGCGCCCACGTATTTATATATGTATGTATGTGTGCGTGCATGAGAGAGAGAGAGAGACAACAGCCACTTAGTTTTTTTCTAGTTTTCTTCAAATTTAATATTTGTAAATGACATTTCTTCTCCTTATTGCTCCTCGTCTTCTTTAAAGCCAGTCAGACTTAGAGAATGAAGTGAAAGACATGGGGAAGCAGAACCTGATGGCAAAGATTAGGAAAATTAGCATAAGTTGGTTGAGTGTCTGCACTCTATTGAGGAGATATAAAGCAGAAGAAAGAATAAATGAGAATATTCAAATATATTTAAAGAAAGAATGTTGGATGTTGAATAATGAATTGACATCACAGCACTTGGGACACTGCCATAAGTGCTCAGTCCCCCATCTTCAGCAGCAAGTAAAAAGTTTCAATTCCAGTGGCACCACTAACCATCTGATTGTTTATCCGTCTCATCCTTCCCCTGAGTGTTGAGCGTTGGCAAGATTCCCTGGTAACATTCTCCTTAGACTGTAATGATCTATCTGTGCCTCCGCACTGTTCACTCGCTCCCAAAGAGCCCTCACAATATCTAACTCGTCATAGATCAGTTTACCACCAAGTGGTGCAGAGCTAGCCAGTCTGTCTGCCTGTTCATTTATCAACACACCGGCATAATATCCAACGGATGCTAACTACCTGGGACCTCTGAAGTGATGCTTGCCACTCTGCACGAAGCATGCCTGTTTTCACCTTTCTCAGCATGCTCTGTGTTATATTTAAAGAGAAAAATTGTTTTAAAAGAAATTGAATTTAGTAAGTTGATGTTCTCATGGTTGTGGTCTGTGGTACAAGAGCCCCAGTGTGGAAGGGTCTGAAGCCTTACCATGTAATATTCCTAAAGACAGCCATAGTACACTGTAGCTAACCTTCATTGTGGAGATGGCACATGAGTTTTTGTCTCTGTGGTTCAGAAGTTAGTGAATGCGCTTAGAATAGTTTCATGATCCTTTTCTTTTTAGAAAGAAAACAACCAACAACAACAACAAACCTCTTCTTGGTTTTTATTCTGGTACAAAAGTCTCACCTTGGAAGAAATTGGGGCCTTAACTGTGTGATATTCCCAAAACTCCCTATGTTGTTTCTGGATCCATGTTGGGGTTTTAAAAAAAAAAAGAACTGATTCCTAACATGCATGTCATAAAAGATGAGTCAGAGAAACCACAGTCTGCATATGAATAAGCCAGGTCTCTACAAACAGTGTGCATGTAAAACTCAAGGTTTGCAGGAAGACTAATATCCAGAAGTTGATAAACAACTAGGAGTTTCTGCCAAAGTCTGAATCTGGCGAACACAAAGTAGAAGATATTCCAAAAACTGGCAGCGATACACTGTATCCAGCCTTCAGTGTCAAGATACACACAAAGTGAAACATGTAAGTGACCTAGGTGGTAACTGCTTTTACCCTAATCTTTTAAAGCCGCGTTAGCGCAATTGATAGGAGATTCTCTTTCAAATCACCCACAGCCGGTGTTCGAAACCATATGGTTCCCAGGGTTCACCCAGCCTCTAGGTAATGGGTACCAGAGTTAACTGGGGTAAATGGAGGAACGTCGCTGTAGCTAGTGAGTTGTGTGCGGACAGCGACACAGGTGGACAGTTTCTTATCAGCTGTCTGTACTGATGGCAGAGCACTTATGGTTTATAACCGTGTGCAGTGACGCTGGTTCACATCTCCCGACTTTACCTTAACAGAAACTGTAAAGATGAGAGACTTCAATGTGGCTGACATGAAGGAGGAAGATGAAATTGCTGAGTATGAACAGTCGATGAAATGGTACAGTGAAATTAATGCCAATGATATCAATAACTGGTTCTCCATGAAGGAAGGAACCAAGGAAGATAAGAAGGTTAGTGAAATATAAGTTGCCTTTGTTTATTACATTTCTATAGAGATATCTTTTCACAAACTTTAGCACTATGCTAGAATGACTTGTACATTTTTTATGCTGTTATTTAATGGTAGGCAGTAAATTGTATAGGGCATTGTTTGTGTCTTCTTTGTTCTGTCTGTTATATGTTTCTTCCTAATGACCCTGGTAATACATGGGCTATGATAACTGTTAATCATAACCTCATAACACTTTGTGACATGGAGCCACCAGTTGTTGTTGTTGTCTGTTGATCAACTCCCTGCACATCTGTCAGCCAGATGGGATTATGTTTGCATGTGTCAGGCCTGTTCCTTTGGTCACATTCTGTACCCAGGTCTCTCTTGGTCTTCTTCTTATTTTTCTACTCTTCCCCTCTACTGAGCGCTGTATTATCATTTTGGAGAGACTGAAAGATCTTGTTACATGCCCGTACCTTTGCATTTTCACTGTTGTTAAAAGAGGTTCATCGTTGCTAATGTTTTGGGTGATGATACAGCAAAATTCATCATTTGTAATGTGGTTTCTGTATAATAAACTCAGGATCTTTCAAAAAGATTTCATTGCTACTGGTGAAAATGTGTGTCTTTCTATTGCCTACAACATATGTCACTTATAACCATCCACCCATACAACCACCAAAAAAAAAAAAATACATAATATGCACTCGGCTGCATTAGTTCATGAAAATTTTTGATCCTACCACCGTGGTTAGCTTTCTTAATTTACTATTTTATTAAATTAATTTTTTTTTCCACATTACTGCAGTAATTATATGTAGATTGTTAAATTTGTGATTTTTATGTACACGTTTTATAACCTGTTTGAATTAAAATAGTGTTGAATATTATAAGTTTGACTTACGACCATTTCGACTTCTGATGTGTTTATCGAAACAGAACTCTCTTATAAATCGAGAAGACCTTGTGTTGGTTTTATAATATCCAATTGTTCTTGTTTTTTGTTTGATATAGCTGCTGCAGACCCTGAAAATGTTTGTGGCCAGGTTCTCTGATGTTCTGGATGTGGAAATCTCTTGTGATGGATGTGGAGTGACTCTTCCTGGGCGGAGATATCGTTGCCTTCAGTGCATGGACATGGATCTTTGCAATGCTTGCTTCTCTGGTGGTGTGGAACCTGAGGAGCACAGGGATAACCATGAGATTGTCCACCTTGTGTGAGTATCTGTCCATCTTGTGTGAGTATCTGTTTGTCCACCTTGTGTGAGTGTCTGTTTGTCTACCTTGTGTGAGTATCTGTTTGTCCACCTTGTGTGAGTGTCTGTTTGTCCACCTTGTGTGAGAATCTGTTTGTCCACCTTGTGTGAGTATCTGTTTGTCCACCTTGTCTGAGTATCTGTTTGTCCACCTTGTGTGAATATCTGTTTAAGGAACTTGCATTTACAGGAGTGGTAAGATTTAACATATACTAGGTATAAGATAGGGTGATCAGTATCTTTCTTTTTTCAGGACATCCCTGAGTTTGTACATTTTGTGAAAGTACATGCTTGAAGTGTTCCAATTTACTGAAGTCATAATAGAACTTTACATATAATAAATAAAAGGTCATTAAAAAGTGACTCATTTGCACTTGATAGATAGCGCTGCCAGTTCCATTTGTTTCCAGAAATTTTCCTGATACCAATGTTTGACTCCAGTGCAAGTATTTTCATGGTCAAAATGTTACTTGTCCTTTATGACATACTTGTTAAGGGATAGTGACTGTTCTTTTTCCTGTCCTAAAACAGCACAGAGATTCGTTTAATGACTCACATCTGTTTGCATATTTACTGTGAAGTCTGTCTTCAGCCTACAATTAATCTTGATATGTTTAGCTATCATGATTCAGTCGATCTTGATATATTTAATGCTGTCGCCCTGCAAAAGTTGTTTTTTGGCATTTATGGGTTTTTGATTACATGAAGTCTGGGCAGCCACTATGCCTGTATAACAACTTTGGTACTGGCTGTAACTACATAGTGTGTAAACGTGGTGGGTATGACTATATAAATATATATTTATTAAAAGTTAGTTGTGTAACCTTACACAGAAACAACTTCAGCATATTTTGGGCTGTTTGAGATGTTACTGGGAAATTTTACATTGAGTAGTTTTCCATTGCCTGTGAGCGGTCAGTTGTCAAAACCGACACAAGGCGTTCTGTTGCCGAATCGCCTACAGCTGGGATTGCACACCGAAGGGCGAATTACAAAAAATATGTGATATGTTTTAGTGATTTGATGGCTGCGATATAGCTGTAGATTTCATGCCTACCTGTCTACTCATTGGTCTAGGGGTTCAACCCCCTGGATGGTTATAAAAATTCCCCAAGATTGCAAATTTCTTCTGCTTCTTCTTTGTTCCTCTGTTTTCTTAGAGTTGAGTTATAGAGAATTATAAGAATGCATTAATTTTAAACAAATTTTGAAAAAGGAATTTTTTTTTTAAAGATTCTTACAAGGCCAAAGGGTTAATTATGTGCCATGTTGTACATTTGCAGGTACAAGTGCAACCATTGCCAGGCTTTCATTGTTGGGACCAGAATCCATTGCAATGAGTGTGACGACTTTGATCTCTGCCTAGGCTGTCACACCAAACACAAATTCCCCCCAGGGTAAGTATTTTGATTTTGTGACTAGTTGTGTTAGAGCATCTGCATTGTTCACCTATGCAGTGCCAGTTGTGTCTCAGAGAGTTTAAAGTTAATTCTGCTAAATGCAGTGTATACAGTGGTACCTCATATTTTATCTGTTCCTGATCCTTAGACATATACTAGACAGTATGTCTACCAGCTGAATTTTCCCATAAGAAATCAAGTGAGAATGATTAATCTGTTCCCCTGGAAAAAATCCTGTTGTAATTGGCATATTATACATTGATGGTGTTGTATAAAATAATTTGTATACTGCCTAGTACAAAATACATAAATACAAAAGCAATTAGATTAAGTAAATGAAAATGTAACCTCACTTTACCTTCATGAGAAGAGTTGAGTGCCTCCTGGGATGGTACTGAGAAAGGAGGAGATGTTATTGTTTAGATAGAGTCTGCTTCCACTAAAACTTTATTAATCGGAAATATTTTTTGTCCTCTTCCTGTCTCTCTTTTTTTTTTTTGCCCTATCTTTTTGCAACTTGGAGCTGGTTGAGGCTCATCCGGTTTGGCTTTTACTAAAGATCTCCCCAAATAACTTCACTTCTGCTTCTTCTCAGGATGTTTAGGAAATGTGACATTGTCTGGTCATTCAATATAATGCTGTTATGGCTTGTTTGGGCTTCGTTGGGGGGATATTGTCTGGTCATTCAATACAATGCTGTTATGGCTTGTTTGGGCTTCGTTGGGGTGATATTGTCTGGTCATTCAATACAATGCTGTTATGGCTTGTTTGGGCTTCGTTAGGGTGATATTGTCTGGTCATTCAATACAATGCTGTTATGGCTTGTTTGGGCTTCGTTGGGGTGATATTGTCTGGTCATTCAATACAATGCTGTTATGGCTTGTTTGGGCTTCGTTGGGGTGATATTGTCTGGTCATTCAATACAATGCTGTTATGGCTTGTTTGGGCTTCGTTGGGGGATACTTCTATGCAAAGTCATTGACATCTGTCCATGGCTTTGTCTCGAGAAAGGGAAAAAAGATAGCGTGCAGTGTTGTGACTAATCTTGACTCGTGCAGGTTTGTATTCCAAACAAAAGTCATAAAAGCAGGCAAAGGTATTCACGTCTAAACAGGGCATAAACCACGTTGAACGTATATGAAAGTAAACATGTACTGAGGTACCACTGTATTTGCATGTTCTGCCAGGAAAAGTTGACTCAGTACTGTTTGTGTTTCTCTTGCAGACACACAGAGAGTCACGACATCACAAGACTACCCATGGTGAAATGTAAGTATTTCGCTCTTGAACTACATTAGAACTAAAGTTGAAGAAGTTGTCGAGAGGATCAACTCATTATATTGGATTTTGTCCCATATGACTAGCTCCATCTCTCTCTCCACAGAACAGCTAACTGCCTGCGGAGAGCAACAAACAAAGCACAAACTCCATAGATAAAGTGACGATCCTCAGGGATCACTGTAAAGATTGCATCTTGAACCGAATGACACAGTCTGTTAAACAAACCCACAACCTTCAGTCCATGAGGCTAACAGCTTGACCACTTCACAATGGACCCCTCTTGCTTTCCACACCCCCCCCCCAACACATATGAACTAATGACAACATAGAAAGAGAAATGAATAGAAGTCACTAAGTAAGTTACATATGAACATTTAACTTTATAGTACTTGACAGTCTAGCATCAGGTTGTTTTATTTAGAACATTTGTAATCTCAGCTTTTGAAGTAGTGCAGATAACAACTCGTATTTAATAAAAAATGTGACTTCAGCAATTAGGGTTTAATAGGATTAATATAACAACTTAATAAGTCATAAAAGGTCAAGAAAATTATTTAATCTAAGTAAGGGCACAAAAGTATATAATCTGAAGCACAAGGCGTCTACAAGGGAGTTAAGAAAAGTATGTAATATATGAAGTAAATGAGATGGGGAGTCCCTGTGTCGGAGCGGCTAGATGCTCGCCGCGGATCAGAAGGTCGTGGATTCGCTGGAGGAGCCGGACTTTTTTTTTCAAAAATGACCTTGGCTCCCAGGTCGATCCAGCCTTGAGTGGGTACCGGGTGGAGTCCTAGGAAGTAGAGGCGGCCAGCGTGATGCTGACCACATCACCCATCTTTTGCCGATTGGTCTATAAAAATATAGGTCTAGCCCTATATGCCCTATACGTCTGGAGGCGTGGAGAAGGGTCCTTTACTTATTAAATGCATGATGCATTTCTTTGTACTGAATATTTCCTTTTTTTTTTTATATTGAATACACACTTCATCACTGTTTATCAATTCACTTGCACATCAGCTTTATTTCTCAGCGCAATCTTCAATAACACTTATACTGTCACTGTATCACTGTCAGTGATCATCATTCATTCTCCAAACTATTTTTTTTCTGGGGGGTGATGTTATCACCCATGTACTAGGAGTGGACTGATGAGGTTTCTGGACACTACATCTCTGGGGCCAGCCAGCTTTGTGATACCCTGCCAGCAGGTTTTAGGCTGATAGAGGATATTATTCGTGTGGACGTGTGGCAGGAGTCTTGCATAATGTTATGTAAAACCAGCACTGCTTGCTGGCACCCGGTATGAAGTACATGGTATCTCATCATACACAGTGCAACAGCCTTCACTTTTCTTCATGCATGTGATCAGTAACACTGCACAACACTTTCTCTGTATGTGTGTGTGTATATATTTTTAAGAAATCAGTACCAGGTAACTTCCTAGGAAATAAAGGCGACTAGCATGATGTTAACTACATCCACCATTGAGTGCTGATTAGTCCATAATTTATGAGTCTAACATACACCCAGAGTCTTTGGTGTATGAAGAATCCTTTACTTTCTTTTACTAAAACTATAAATTTTTTTTCATGATTTAATTTTGCTTACTTTCATACAAAATCTGGCCATTGCAGTAAAAACGAGCCAGTTAAGTAACTCCTCCCTGAAGGCATACATTCACCAGCATGTGTGGCTGCTTTACACCTCGCTGACTCTCACACTTAGTGATATTGTGTACGGACGGGATGCGGGCATCATGTACCTGGACTCCGACTACATCAAGATTGCTGGGCAGCTGCAGCAGCAGTGCATCACACAGGCAATCGATTGCCTCAACCATGTCACAGGAGAAATTGATGGTAAGTTTGTATGCTGCCAGGAAAAGGCTCTCTACCTTTTTCCAGTGTGTCTTACCTCTACACAGGAAGCACCTCTCCTAATGTCCTGTCTTCACCACTGGACCAGAAACTTAAGTCTTTTCTCCTTCTCAGATGTAGCAACAAACACAATTTACCCTATCATCCACCCTTCTACCTCCATCTCTATAGGCATATATATATATATATATATATATATATATAAGCCCAGATATATATATATATATATATATATATATATATATATATATATATATATATATATATATATATATATATATATTTTTTTTTTTTTTTATTTATTTATACACACACACACACACACACAGGTCCGACAATTAAGTAATGAGAATAACTCCATAAAATTTAAATCATCAATAGTTGAAGATACAACCTGTATTTTATTCAAAGTAAGCCCCTTGTGCATTAATACAGCGAGTGGCACGATCTAACGAACACTGGAATGACCTCTGAAGTTCTTCTGTCATTATGGCCCTTAAAGTAGATGTCATCAATATCATAAAAGAAGCGTCCTTTCAATGGCAACCTTAATTTTGGGAATAGAAAAAAGTCACAGGGAGAAAAATTCGGGGGAATAGGGTAGATGGTTGAGAACACGCACTTGTTTTGGGGCTAAAAATTCCTATACAACTACTGCCCTTCGAGTCGGTGCATTGTCATGAAAAAAAAAAAACAAATTGCTAGGTGTTGAATACAAATGGCAAGCAACTTTTTTTTTGCCCAAATCTTACACTTAAATTTTGCGAATAGTCTCTGAATTAATACCAAATTTATCTACCATCATCCTCACAGTCGAACAACGAATTTCTTTTATCCATTCTCGAAAATTTGCTATGAGTTCCTCATTCCAACAGAAATTGGCCATCCAGGTCTAGTTGCATTAGTAATCATTTCCACACCACTTTTGAATCATGAATACCAGCTGAAAATTTGTGCAAGAGATAAACAATTATCCCCATAAACTTGTCGCATTAATTCAACTGTTGCAATGGTGCTTTTTCTGAGTTTTAAACAGAATCTAATGTTAGCTATTTTTGCACCATGCTGATTAGGTAACGATGCACCTCTGACTAGGTTAACATAATGGTGGTTTGTTTGTTGTCTGCTTATCGGGCAGGCGATGAAAAGTTGCCAGATCATAGATGAAGGTTGCCTCTTTGGATTCTATGCTGTGATTCATAGATGGCATTTTTGTCTTAGCCATAATAAAATTAGTCTCATAACTTAACTGTCAGACCTTGTAGAGTGCAGTACATTAGAATAAAGTAAAATACAATAAAGTAGAGTACAGTACACTAGAATAAAGTAAAATACAAAAGAAAGTACAGTACAGTAAATAGTAGAGTACATTACAGTAAAATAAAGTACAATAAAGTAAAGGTAAGCAGATATTGCCTTTAAGGTGGAAAGTTTTAGATTTTCACACATTCTGGGCCACAATATATGAGGTGGCTTGGCTGTTTCCTGTTAATTATCTGAGAAGGAAATGCATTAATAACAGAAACTGGCCTCCCCTTAAAGTGGTTCTCTGATTTGATACAGCTTTTGGATAACCTTACACTTTAGATCACTATAGCAGTATCTGCTAAAAGACTTCTTTTCCTAGATGGAAGAGATAACCTGGAGATGAAATTCTGCACTTTTATGAAACATCCCTGTCTTTTACTGTTCCATTGTGGAAGTCTGCATCATTCTCTACACCTGAAAAAAAAATTATGTTATCTAGTTGGTCAAGGTTTTAACTTCATGCAGATGGTCACTCTATAACTGCTCTGCTCCTATGCCATGGAAGTCAGACCAAATGTCCTTCACTATCCATTTCAGAAATGATTTTAAAAAATCTGTTAGCTCTAGCAAAATCTTGGAGCTTGCACATGCAAAGTAAATTCATACAACAGCTGTCTGGTCTGCTAACACTAACAGTCCCACACAAAAATTGCCGCTTACTGTTGGTGCAAACGGTCAGTCCTAAAAGCGGGCACTGCACGCGCAAAAGTACAGGCTTTTCTTAACATAACTGGCCAGTTGCCATTTTAGTGCGGTCAACAACATGCTGTAAGCACAACAGAAAATACAGTCCACTTTAAATCTGCAGTTCACTGTGTTACACCAGGCACTTAAATCTTTGAGTCCCAAGGAACGCATCATACGTTCATAGGTTCCTACCTAGAAGTCCAATGAACACGTGATGCGCCGATTTTATTACTTTCTTTACTACCCCCTGGGCCTGTGATGTTAAATCCCCTGGGACTCAAAGAGTTAACTTAGTACTTGGGTAACAACCTTTGGACTCCCAGTCCAGAAATGGGCAGTTTGCATCAGCAAAACCTGACTGGAAACAGATAACTTTTCGGCTCTCCTTTAAATAACGGTTGCTAGCTGGAAGGCGACGCTTAGTCAGAGTTCACTCCCTTGCAGTGCAAATACGGAGTGGTAAAGAGGGAACGAAACAAATGACATACTTACCTGTCATGCTACGGTTGCTTAGGGCTAGGCTTAGGGTTTGGGGTAGGGGTAGGGTTTGGGTTAGGGTTAGGGTTTGGGATAGGGTTAGGGTTTGGGATAGGGTTTGGGTTTGGGTTAGGGTTAAGGTAACACATGAAGAGTCGAGTACTTACCCATAATAACGGCTGCTATATGTGAAAATTCGGTCATTAAGGCCTACAGATCTGCAGGAGTCACATCTGTGGCCACTAAGTCGTGCGTCGCAAAAACGTGGTTGCTAATGTGAGTCGCAAGTCGTTGTCTACCAGCCATGTTGACCTTATTTTTGATTTGTGACTTGTCCACTCCGTATTGCACTGCAGCCAAGGGAGTGAACTCCGACTAAGCAGCTGTCGCCTTCCAGCTAGCGACTGTTATTTTAAGGAGAGCCAACTTTTCAGTGCATCAGCAGTCAACCTGCTATCGGCTGTTTTCCCTGGAGGTCTCCAGTGGTGTGTTAAACATTTTGTATTGGTGCATGTACAGTGACGATTTTTTCTGAGCTTTTAAAGTGTATACTTCAAATGATGATGCTTAATTACTCCTCAGGAGAGGCTGAGAAGGAGATGCCACTTGAGAAACGGCGAGAACAGAGATTTGCCATGCACTCTCAGGAGAGGATCATGGGACTGCTTGGAGCTGTCATGCCTCACAATGAAAAGAAGGTAAAGTTTTTTTTTTTTTTTTTATCTGTAAATATTTTGAATAAAACAGAATTGTGTTAAAATTTGACATGAAAATGACAAATGTTGAGTCAACAAGAATATAACACACACAAAACAGTCTTAGACTTTGAAAAAAAAAATGGTAGGAAGTCCTGAGAAGAGTGCCAGATCAGCGCAGTTGTATCTAACAGTTTTGACAGTGAATGCAGAAAGACGATTTAACCAAACAATTGAATGGTAAAATATTGTAATGTAGTAAAGTTTGAAATAAGATTCCAGCCAACAGTTAAGCAGTACAATGTTTGTGTTTTCTTGTGACAGGAGCAGTTAACTGGGACTGGCTTCAACTTTTGTACAGAAGAATTTCTCAACCACCTGTTGAAAATTTCAAGGTAAATTTTATGCCTTGCAAAAGTAGTTTCTGGAATTGTTGTTTTAATAATGAACCTGACTTTTTCATTTTCTTTGATGTAATAAAACTTATGGTTCTTTTGTGGTTATTCACCCCATTGACATCATGATGTCGTCATGGGACAGTCAAATAATTTAGAGGGTGGTAAGATAGGGCTTTTCCAGTGTGTTACCAGCTGTCTTCCTGTGTTGCCAAGGCTGTGGCACGCGTTGCTAAGGCTTTGGCACATTTTTTCGTGACGGCATTTTCTCTCCAGCGACTTGTGTTCGTCCCCAGCGACTTGTGTTTGCTGCCTCTTGTTCCAGTCTTCATCACAATGAATTTCATTAAATTAGTAGCATCTCTGCCTGACAAGGGTACCAGCATTGCCTTCCTGCAACATCATGGCATTCTGCACAGCACCAGACTTTGTGGCAGCAGTCATGAGATGCTGTTATCACTGACGGAAAGACAGAGCCGATGGCGGTGTTGAAAGGTTAGGGTTAGCACATATAGTTTCTCCGATTGCACATAGTTTCAGACATATTGCAAAACAGCATCCTCCTACCAGCAACAAAAAACAAAAAAAAACTTTGTTTGCCAGCTGCCGGCAATATCGAGTTTTCTATATTCCACGATGTGAGTGCTTTTAATGACCCCAAAACATCTACAACTAGCCCTAACCCTAACCCCAGCCTATGCCCCCCACCCCCAATCTGATCCATAAATCTACCGCTTAATTAATAGTATTACCCATATTATTAGTCTTTTGTCATTTTATATAATTAATACTTGGGTGATCTGTTGCTGAAATTGTGCTAAGAGCTGAAATTTACAATTTACATTTTTTTTTTTCAAAACAAGAAAAATGTCATGTGGGGGTTGAACATGGCACCTTTCGATTGTAAGGCAGATGTGATACCAGCTACACTAAAAATTCACATGAAAATGAGAACCGAAAACAGTACCAGTATTGTAGACCAGCTTATTGCGCACCAACACACAGAAAAATGCATACCAATAACCAACACAAGATGCTCACAAAACTCAAAACTGCACTGCAGATGAAATGATACCACCACTTGAAATAGTTGACTGTCCCGCCAGCTGTTGATTTCCCATGGATTCTCTTGTTTGGGGTGATTAATTGCGAAAGAACCAAACTTATCTGCACCAGGTTTGTGTGTGCTTGCATGCGCTGTGTGAACGCATGCATAGGCTTGTAAATTGTCATGTATGTGTGTGTATATATATATATATATATCTGTGTGGAGAGTGTGTGTGTGCGTGTGCATGCGCGTGCGCGCGCGCACACGAGCCTGCTGGCCTGTGCATATTTTCTGTTTAAAGTTGTATATAGTTTCAGACAGTGGTATTTTGGTATTTGTTTTTGGCAGGGGAGAACAAGGGCATGAACTCAACACCCAACATCTGGCACTACGTTTGACTGGGAGACTGTTGGCTACTAGCGATCCAAAGGTTTTTGCACTTGACTCTACTTGTTTGTGTTGTGTTCTCTTAATTTTTTTGCATTCTTTACTGATAACTTCACCATTAGCTGGCATGTTATAAATTTACAAATATTTACTGTGTAATAATATCAGTACCTAAAGAGAAATATGAGGTTATCAAATGTATGTGGACAATGAATTAAACTAGAATTGATTGTTGCTTATAGGAGACACATATAAGACACATGTTGTTCAACATGGGCAGAGCTCATGGGCTTTCAGGGTTTTGGTTGAAGGGAGGGTTGTACAGAAAGATAGCTGTGCTTTTGCCCTGACTACAAATAGTCTGACTGTGGAGAGGATGGCGGTAATTTCTTAGCAATTTACCGGCTGAGGATTAACTTCATTGTACCATACTGTATCTCATTTGGCTTGGTCCTTCTCCACAGAACAACTAGCCACTTACCGAAAGTGTCAAATAAAACATGAAAACCAAAGCTCCAGTGATGATCCTCAGGGGACTCTATAAAAATTGCACTGTGAACAAAATGGTGCGGCCGTGAAACGAAGCCATGACCTTCAGAAAGCAAGGAAGTTGGCTTGACCACTTTGCGACGGAGACCCCCAAAATATTTGTTTAATATGGTTGAAGTATTTTAGTTTACACGAAATGATACTGTTTAAGGCCAGTCTCCATTGATAGTCAGATCATGAAGAATATCCATATTTTTCCTTTTTTTAACGGGGTCCATGCAATGAAAAATAACTGTATATTTTACTTCTGTTATTATTATTATTATCGATCACCGGCTGTGAATTCCAGTGGAAGGTCCAGGTTAATCGTCCGCTTGGACTTTTGGCTTTCACTTGGACCTGATTTTTGCGTGTACAACCGTTTTTCATTTCCCTGCCTCATGGGCAGCTGTACTCCGACTTCGAAGGAAGACATCAGGCCTATTTCTAGGGTGACTGTGGCCATTGTTTTGTGTGGGTCGAAGCGTTGCCTGACTTATGTGGTGTCCACTTTGTCTCCTTGGCCTCAGGTATTGACCCCGGAGTACCCCTTTGGGGCAGCCCCCTGTGGAACAGTTAGCCCTCAAGGGAAGGCAGGGGCAGATCATGGGCATTCCCCGCCATCAAAGGAGGCTTCCATGCATGCAGAGCCGGTACATGGCGCTCTGGTTCTGGGCTCAACCAAGGAATCGTCACGTCCTGCACATGCCTGCTTGACCTCACAATCGTATCATGCCTCCCGCTCGACAGGGGCTGCGCCCTCTGGAAGTCAGAGGGGAGCAGCCCGTGGGTTTTGGACTTTTTTGACCACACAGATAGGTACATTCTTTTTTCTTCGCACGTTAGATTTCTTTGACGAGCCGTTAGCCCGACAGAATTTTACATCCTGCATCAGGCATATCGTTTATCAGTTTTTGGACTTTTGTCCCAACACTTAGGTACATTCTTTTTTCGAGTGATTTCTTTGGGAGTCTTAAAAAAAAAAAAAAAAAAAAAAAACAACACTTTTTTTCAGTTCCATACAAATTTTGATGGTCAGATTTTGATCCGTATGATCTAGTTTTGTCGGACATTTAGGCTTAGCCATCCGATGGATGGTTGCTGTTGTGGTGTACCTCAGCGCAGTGACAACGACACTGAGGGTTAACCGAGGATGTACATGAATGGCCAGCCTATGGATGGTTTTGCTGTTGTGGTGCACCTCAGCGCGGTGACGACGACACTGAGGGTTAATCGAGGATGTAACAAGGATGGCCAGCCTATGGGTGGTTGCTGTTGTGGTGTACCTCAGCGCGGTGACGACGGACACTGAGGGTTAACAGAGGATGTGCAGTGAACAATGTTCTCTTTTACTCAGCAGTCTTTTAACCAAGTGTTGTAATTTTGGCTGTACGTTTGGCAAACCTACTCATGTTCCTAATGAGTTTTGATAACATTTTTCACCCAAGCGTTTGGGGCGGGCTGATGAGAGCCACAAGGACACAATCACCTCTGGGGGCCGCCGAAACTCCGAGATCCCCTGACAGCTCTGTTAATGCTCATTTATGAGACATTGTCCGTGGCGCACGACAGAGGACGTGCTGTAGGGGTCTTGCGTGAGGTTCCGTACAACCAGGATAGTAAAGGACTGGCGCCCGAGTGACGTACGGAGTATCTCCTTATACACATCATGTTGGACTTAACTTCCCCTCACGCCTGTGACATAAATCACCGCGCCACTTTTACTTCTGTGAAACCTGTGGTCTTAACTACTAGAGCCACTTTGAGGTGATTTTGAAAAACAAGGGGCAGATCTGTAAGCTACTTCAAGTGGTGCATGCTAAACTAGGAATTTCTTCTTCTTCTTTCTCATAATTTATCGGAAGATGTAACTGGACTATGTCCATGTACCGTGTGGCTACAAATATTTGAGCCTTTCAATCCACACTTCCTTCTTCAATTATTTGTTGCAGGGGTTAACCTTCACACACTCACACAACAAAAAAACTTTAAATTTTCATTGTTGCTGTATCTTATATGAATCATTTTGCTTGTCTTTTCCTGAGTTGCTGAACTGAGATTTCTGTTCAGTTTTGTGTTAAGATCATATAGGATATATTTATGAGAATCTGTACTGTATAGTTTAGATTCTCTACTGGGGTATTTCAGAGATTTTGTAATGGAATATCATTTATAGTCTGTATTGAGATTATGTACTGTATGTTTCTGAGCTTTTGTACTGAAATAGCTCTGATATTTTGTACTGATATCATGTTATATTATGTTGCTGATATTTTATACCGACATATATGTGAACTCAGTTGGCAGATGATGCAACTCAGAAGATGATTGGAACTGACAATAAAACAACCATACCCGGACAACATACCATTGCTCACCTGTTCTCCTTTGGAGCTAAAGCTTTTGAAAAGTGAGTAACATCGGCTGCAGTTTGCAGGATAATACTAGAGTTAAGTCCCCTGCGCCCTCTTTGTCTCCAACCAAAACTGCATATTTTTCATTTTATCATATTTTGTGACGTTATTGATTTTGTCCAGTGGCTTTGTTCTTCTTCTTCTTCTTTCTAACGTCCTCTTCTGCTGCTTTTGATGTCAAGACAGATTTAAAGTTCTGCTTTTTGCCTTTCTGACTGTCTCTGCCATGGACGCGTCATGCTGTCTAGAGTTTCTCTGATGTTATCTGTCCACTTTATTCTTGGTCTTCCTCATGGTCTGCTTTCCTCTACTCTTTTGATGTATACCTTGTGTTTTGATATTGCTTAAAGTGGGTAACCATTTTATTTGCTGTTTTTTTTTTTTTTTTTTTTTGCAGTTTAGTTTTGGTTCAGTTACTTTTTCTTTTATAATTTCATTCCTGATTTTATTGTGTGTGATTTAATACTTGGAAAAGACGGTAATGGAAGGTGCTGTTTGTGGAAGGCGAGGCAGGGGTCAACCACCATGAAGATGAATACAAGACATTGAGGATGCATTGGCATTGAAAGCACATGGGGCTGGAGAGCTGGCTAGGAAAAAGGATACTTTCAGGCGTGCCAGAAAGAGAGCGACATTCTGTAAAGGACTTGCTGATTGATAATGATGATTTATTACAATGATTTTTTTTTTTTTAAATCCTTAGGAGTGGCCTTGAGTGGGCCTGTTCTGTGGCCAGGATGTTGGAGATGCTGTTTACCACTCACCAATGGAAGCCAGCCATACACCAGCACATCTCTCACTGTGTCCAGTCACTCAAACATGTGAGTGATGTTGGTCATCTTCTTTTTCTTTTTTGTGTTCACCAGCTGTAAACTTTGGCAGGAAGTTCTGGTTGCTCATCCAATTCTGGACTTTAGTCTTGATCCAAAATCTGAGTCTTGCATGCACATGTGTTATAAATCTATATAATCGACACTGTTACAGTTACAATGTATATAATCAGCACTCTTAGAGTTTCAGTTTACATAATCAACACTCTTACAGTCAATACATTCAAAATGTATGTAATTAACACTTCTAAGACATGGGCCTGGACAATAAGCAGACAAGGTGAAATACATTTACTCATAGAAAAATGCTTTTTGAGAATGCAAAGAATATAAAAAAAATTGTAGAAATATAAATGAAGCAGTCCTTAGATGACAGTCATAAACTTATTAGAACAATTAGATGTAGACAGTTTGTTTTGTGTGTGTGTGTGTGTGGACTTGTTATGAGATGGAATGGACTCCAAAACTTAGCAACAACCCGCAAGATTGATGAAATGAGCAAGAGAAAGACAAAGAGATAACATACCTGCATGGCTTGGCCACATGGATGAGGGCAAGGCAAGAACATTGACCTGATCTATGTATCTGGTCATCATGTGAGATAGGGAAACATAGCAGCCTAACACTTACCTTCACGGTGATGATGATGATCTAGGACGTATTGCTTGTTGACATTTGTCTTTCATTAGAGGTGCCATAATGGGCATTATTTTGAGATAGTAGATCAGAGGTGAGTAGCAGGTGTCCGATTGGGATCAGAGGTGAGTAGCAGGTATCCGATTGGTTAGAACACTGCGCTGTCATGCAGGAGACCTGAAATCAAACCTCGGCGCAAAAATAAAAATGCTAAGCTACAGATTTCATGGCAGTTACCTTAGCCATATGGCCTTAAATCCTCAGGCTCACAACACCCCCCTGTCCTACACCCCCAAGTGGTAAATACGGGCAGGAAAAACAGGTTTCTGATTAGATGTACTAAGATCCACATTCTTTAGGCATACTCTCATTGGATGTACCATAATCCACATTCTTTATACATACTACTTTCATTAGATGTACTATAATCCATATTCTTTATACATACTACTCTCATAAATATCCGCATACTTGTGACTTGTTATTCTTAGATGCACCATAATCCTGCTTCTATAACTTGTTACTTTCATCAAAAATCGATAATCCACATCCGTTCAGTTGATCTACATCTGTTCAGATTTTAATGTCATATTTTACCAGAGTGTTGCTTGAACTTGTTCTAAAATTGCAGCATAAATGGGTTACTAATCAGCAAATCTTCTGTTTCAGAATGTACAAATCTCTTCAGTGTTTCCCATGTTTGTTATAGCCGGATTTCCAGAGGTTTGTTTTAATTACTTTTATTGTTGCTTGTAGAAATGATTTAACTAACTCACTAATTAACGTCAAGCTTCATGTGGTTTTGGGAGGGAAAAAAGTTAAAATAAGCCAGGGTTTTATCCACAATCAGTTTTTAACAATGCAGTTAGAGGGAAGAGGCATTCTAGAACAAATACTGGAGAAGACTTGGAGACTTGCTCCTGACATCCTGGTTTATGAAGACAAAACAGCTGATAACCTGAGACCGATTACAGAGAAAAAGAAGAAGAATGTCAATAATTCCATCTGTGGACATTTGAACTTATGGCCACCTGGTCAGCAAGCAGGCTTACTCGCACTAACCCAGCTTCTTTGTCGGGGAGGGTGGGGAATAGTCCATGAGTTGTCATAAAATTGTCTCTGTGAATTCAGAATGTAGATTGTTAAATAACTTGTTTCTTTAATATATGTCACAAACCTCTGGTATGACCTTGCCGGTCCGTGGCTCGCTAACTAGGCCCATGACAGACAGGCACTAACTGCTAAAAATTGAACCCGAACGCACACAGAGCAACACGACAATCTTTATTGGAATTACAGGTTCTACATAGACCAGTTGAAGAGCATTGTGGCCCTGGCCTGGACCCTCTGGCTGACGGGCTTTACAATCGCCCCGTCCCCAGTAATGCGACAGGCAATACTCTGGTGTACAAACCACAATCCGGCAGGATACGCTTCTTCTATCGCCACGCTGACCCAATCAAACTGTCATAGTCTCTGTCTCTAGTGCAGGGTCAGAGTGTCCAGGTTAGCCTCTCTCACAGCACATATCATAAATACTCTACACAAGAACTATCCTATCCTAACACAAAACTGTACATAAACTAAAGTCACTAACAGAAATATATCTTAACTTTAATACTATAACATAAACTATCCAGTCACTAAACGTCCTCTCTTCCTGACTGACGCACACCGAATGTCCCTTCTTCCTCCTACCTCGTGTCTCTTGACCCCGTTCACCAGCTCAGTCCCAAAAGCAGTCATCGTGTTACTACAACACAGTTCAGGCTTTCTTGCTTTATCCTGAGCGCTGGTTTCGCCGTGCGATCACAGAACGGACTTGACCAGTGACGGCCCTGACCTCTGTGTCAACCCTGGGCGCACACCTTACGGTGTGGTACACTGACTGTACTTAATAGGGTTGTGACAATATAGAACAGAGGAAATATACCCAAACCCCAGGCACTGACTGCTAAAATTGGGAGAATTACAATTGTTTACAGTTCTTAGACTAGAAAGAGCATTTCCCCCTGGTTAATAGAACTGATTTGTCCCAAATGTTGCATGGTAACATTTGTCTTTAGTTAGAATTTGTGTTCTGGTTCTGTCTGAAAATTCTAATGGAAAGCATCCTCCTGTCATCAAAATTTATCTATTGTCTTTTTTTTTCTAGGTGCTTCAGGAAAGTATTTATATCTTGTCAGAATTTATGTGTTGTAATTCTGTTTCTCTCTGCTTCAGGAAAGCCTTTACCTTTCACCAGAATTTATCTGCTGTAACTATGTTTCCAGGTGTTGACAACAGGAACACTGGTAGACTACAGCTATACCTCACTAGATAACCAGAGCGGAGTTGTGCTGCGACATTTTGCCGACAAATACCAGACCTTGGTTGTTGATCTGAAGACAAGGAAGCGACACACGGTGAGCTTCAGTTGTATTCTCTGTCTGCTGTTATTAGCAATTTTTGTGGATTTAAAGGGTGTTACATTTGTTGTTGCAATCTAATATTATTGTGAAAATGTATTTAATACAGTTTCCCCTCCTTTTCATTTTTAGCATTACTTGAGGTTTGCTTCTGCAGGTATCACCTGCCTTCATTCACTGTGTGGCAGGGACTGTGTGGTCTCAAGGCATGGTGTCCGCCTGGAGTGCTAGAGGTTCCAGGTTCAATCCCCGGCAAGGGGTGGGATGTTTTCACGTGGACTTAGTAATTCTCCTTGGTCTCAGAGTATTAAGATCCGATGCCCGTATGCATTACTACCCGTGGGCCATGATGTTGATCCATTGTTCAAACCTCAAACCTCATTCACTCTGTGATTAGCCTTCTCTTTCCAGTTGGTGTCTCCAAGTGTTTGGAGGTCTGTATGTATACAATATGTATATATTCTCTCCCTGCCATCTTCTTGATCTGCCAGGTGGTCTGCTCCTATTCAGATTTTTTGTGTAAGCAGTTTTTTTTTTCAACTGTTATCAGCCATTCTCTCTGTATACAATATATCTTTGCAGTTAAAAATAGATATATTTAGATTTTTATAGAATGAATAATTTTAAGGTTCAAAATGTTTACAAGTAAAGAGGATTGACTTCATCCTTCTTCTCCTGTCTTTTATCTCCAATGGAGCCTTCAACCAGCTCATGCCAAATCATGCTAGCCTTTGCTATTGCATGCAGCTCACACCATGTCCTCCCCATGTTTGTATGTGTGTATGTATGTATGCGGGTGTGTGTGTGTAGGTGTGCAGGTTAAGTGAGGAATGGACGGGGTGTGTGTGTGTGAGCGTACGAGTGTGCCCATGCATATTACCGCCCATGCTTTTGTGTTTTTTTCCCTTGGTGTTCATAATATGCATATTATTATATGATCATAACATGCTTTATAGATAAAATACAACTGCTGTGTGAAAGGTGGGTGTTTAGAAGGGCGGAATGTAAGACGGGCCTGCGTGCCCAATTTGTAACCTTTTAAAAAAAAAGTTGCCCAGCTCTCTAGCGTAATTGACTAAACCGGATTGAGCGGTGAGCGGGTGGCAAACTCCTTGTGGTCTGGGTTTACTCCCGGTGGTAGGCAGAAAAGCCACATTTTCTCCCAGATTTATGGTATTTACAATGGAATCAAGGCCGAAAGGTTGCGATATCCATAATACCGAGCCTAAGGGTTAACAACTCACGGCTTCTGGATACTAAAACAAAAATAAAGTTTTTTTGTTCATCTTTTAACTTCACTTTCTAGCCCCCTTCTCCGTGTTTTTTTTTTTTTTTTGGGGGTGGGGGGGGGGGGGGGGTTGCCTTTATTCTTCTGTCCCCCTTTGGGTTACAGTGCACAGACATTCTAGTTATATTGTTCAAGTTTTCTGAGCATGTGTCCCATTGACCAGTGTCTTTTCATTACCTCTTGATTCACTGGAATTGTTCAGTTCTCTCCCAGAGCTCAATATTAGTGATTCTATCATACCATTTTATTCCCTCTAATCTCCGCAGGCAATATTCAACAATTGTTTGTAGTATTATTGAGAAGATCTGCTTCAATATATCTGGTTTTATCCCTTGTTGATCAGTCTCTCTCTCTCTCTCTCTCTCTCTCTCTCTCTCTCTCTCTCTCTCTCTCTCTCTCTCTCTGTGTGTGTGTGCGTGTGGTATGGGGTGGGGGGGGGGGGGGGGGGGTGTTTGGGGGAGAGAGATGAGGATCCAAGATGAGCATCAAATAAAGTATGACCTTTTTAGCTTCAGTGAAAATCTCCAGGGATGTCCATAAACATTGTGCTCATGATCTGGACGTTTAAAGTCATTGAAGTGAACCAATGACCTTCAGAATGTAAGTCAGAAGACAGAAGACCTCTGAATGAATCTTGATTAACAGAGGTCATTCATGAACAATCAGCAGATCCATCAGAAGTTACCCAGAAACTGCAGAAGGAGGCCATCTAGATTCTTTGTTCACACCATGCAAAAAAAAAAAAAACGAGTAAATTATGATGGTGGGAAAGTTAGAGGGGCCAAGAGGCAGAGGAAGACCGAAAGAGAAGATACTGGGCAGTTTGACAGTATGGCATGGAAGATCATCTCTGTCAAAAATTACTAAAAGTACACAAGACAGAAGGCTTCATGCTTTGCTGGAGAGAAAAAAATCGTCACGGTCAACAAGTATCTCCAAAGGGGAGCTTTTGGTTATAATTCTCTCTAGGTTATGTGCGCAATATAAAATGGTTTAGCAGTGCATGCCACCAAGAGTCCTGAAAAAGATTCCTGCAGTGTTTGATGCGATCAGAGCAGACAGACCCAAATACTGTCGCCGCCGGGGATGTAGTTGTCTACTGGGAAGAAAGTGGGCGGCCCGGTCACTGATGTCAGACAGAAGGCTTGGGCAGGACATGACTGACTACCAGTGCCACAAGGTATGGAAGATCTTCTGTATCAGAAATGACAGAAGGTACATGAGACTGAAGGCTCTTGATAGACATGGCTACCAATGCCACACAGCATGGACTAAAGAAGAAGAAAAATGCAGAGATGCTATTCTAAAATCTGTTTCCATGTAATTCAGTAATATTTTCCACATTTATGTATTCTTGTTGTGCATGTATGGTTCAAATCCTCTCCTTGAACAGGTCAAGGACCAATTGGTAAAATGTCATACTGAGGCAACAGATGACCTGGAAACAGAAAGTGTGGCCAAATTTGTGACCTTTGTCGTCGATTCTGTTGCTCGCATCAGGGGAGGTTAGTGAATATAAATACTCTGCAGTAGTCTTTCCACTACTGTAAGTGGAAATGTAGTGGTGACTGGTAGAAAGCATTATGCTAGAACCAGATTTGTCTTACACCGGAAGTAGCGTGATGTCGAATAAAATATGAGAAAAGTGTGTCCAAAAATTAAGCAGACTTGCAAATATTTTTTTTTAAATATGTCATTATTAGTAGGTCGCAAAAAAAGCAAAATCAACAACCAAATTGTTTTCTGTATCTGCGCTTTTCGGCCAGCATTTCAGATAATTATAAAAACAATAATAATAATGATAATAAAATATGTAAAATAATATGACATGTATAAATGAATGATTTTAAAAATAATTTATGTATATGGATAATGGAGGCCACTTAGCCTCGCTACAGAAACGATGTAGTTGATGGCCTCAAGGGGTCTGAGCCCCCAGGATCTGGTGCCAATGATGGGGGAGGTTGTACTACTAAAGTTTATATATGATGAGGTTTTATGCCACCCTGCCTAATTGCCACTTATGACATGCATGACATATTAGTGTTACTTTTCTTTGTTTCATTTATTGATGCTGGTAACACATGGATGGGGCTTTTTTTTTCTGTAATCACTCTTCAAATGGCGGATTGCAGGTTGTGTTGTGATTTACAGCTAGGCTGTGATATCTGCCAGTTATAAAGCCAAAGGAAATGGCACTGATTTGGATACATCCTGAGAATAAACACGCAGAGAATCACCAAACAAGCACTGAAATTGGAAATAAAGGGACTGAGAAAGCGAGGATGTCCACACACACACAAAAAACTTTAAACGAACATCGATGAGAGGTTGCACAGGATTGGAGTAACTGCATGCCCTACATGACATTTAATGGCACAACATGACAGTGATTAAATAATTAATGTAATATCAGCATCTTACCTGTTCCAACAAGCGGAAGTACTTCACAGACAGCACGACCTTTGACATTCATTGGTATCTGTCGGGGTATACAGACATAGCCACCCTAGGGTGAGTTCAGCTGGTCATCTCTGCTCAGTCTACATTAGCGGAGGTCGTAATGTTGCTCTGATGGAAAATGCAATGCAAGATACTACACATAAAGAAGTGGATTAGGTGTTTTTATCAGTTTCACAGAAGATAAAGCAGTGGGTGGCAACAGAGATCAGGATTGTCTCACTGGCTTGAGCTGCTGTCACACCAACAACAGACTCATAGTGGGTCGAGGGTCATGGAGACTCATGGCTGTAGTAGCTAAGACTCTCGGGCAGTGGAGCACACCAGCTGTTCCCCCCTTGTGAGTCTCTGGGTCTAGCCTTACAAATAAAAAGGGCACACTAAGGTGGTAAGTACTCTGACCTAGCAAACTTTTCTACAGTCAAGATCGTTGTAGTGACCGAAAAGGCACAACTTTTATAAAGTGATATCATTAGCCAAGAACTTGCGGTCTGTATGGATTGGGGTTACTCACTGTCTAGAAGAGTCAGGTAGAGAAACTGGAGTGCATACAGAATGAAGCTATACAGGTGATCCTGGAAGGTACAAGAGACACCCCGATTGTGTGCATGCGATACATCCTTGCATTACTGACTGTTGCAGATAGGCTAAAAGTGCTGAGGGCTAAGTCATACCTCAGAGTAGCTGCAGACAAAGAACACCCTCTGTATGAAGCTTTGACTGCAGATAAGGGTCAGAGGCTGAAAAGGGGAAAATCGTGGGTGGCTCAAGCAGAAGACACAATAAGACAAGTTTGCATGCTGGAGAACATTGGGCAAGAAGAGGAGTGGGTTAGAGTAGCAGAGAGAAAAATCTTGACTTTTGTAGGGTTATGATCACATTGGGTCAGGAGAGCAGAGAGTGGCCAGCGTATGCATGCTGGAGAACATTGGGCAAGAAGAGGAGTGGGTTAGAGTAGCAGAGAAAAAATCTTGAATTTTGTAGGGTTATGATCACATTGGGTCAGGAGAGCAGAGAGTGGCCAGCGTATGCATGCTGGAGAACATTGGGCAAGAAGAGGAGTGGGTTAGAGTAGCAGAGAAAAAATCTTGAATTTTGTAGGGTTATGATCACATTGGGTCAGGAGAGCAGAGAGTGGCCAGCGTATGCATGCTGGAGAACATTGGGCAAGAAGAGGAGTGGGTTAGAGTAGCAGAGGAATAATCTTGACTTTTGTAGGGTTATGATCACATTGGGTCAGGAGAGCAGAGAGTGGCCAGCGTATGCATGCTGGAGAACATTGGGCAAGAAGAGGAGTGGGTTAGAGTAGCAGAGGAAAATCTTGACTTTTGTAGGGTTATGATCACATTGGGTCGGGAAAGCAGAGAGTGGCCAGCGGGTGCTACGGAGGTGGAAGTCCAACAGTTGATTCACGACAATTCATGTCCAGGTTATCTGTACAGATGGTTCTGTGTTGAGAGGGAAGAGAACTGCCTGTGGTTTCATAGCGAAAGCTAATGGAAAATCTTTAGTGCAAGACAGCCTGGCATATGACACTACAACATCTAGCATGAGAATTGAGGTGGAGGCGGTAACTGCAGCTCTTTGGTGGCTAGAGAACAATATGCATACACATGTCATAATTGTAACAGACTCTGAAAGCTTGCTGAGAAAGGTGAAGACAAGGATGCTTCGAGCAGAGTGGCAAGCTTCACTGAAAAGGTACCGGATAGTGATCATACTTTCAATCTTTTCTCCAGGCCATACCAGCGTGGTGGGTAATGAAAAGGAAGACAGATTGGCTGGATTTGCACCACTGGGTGGTGTATTGATGCATGACAAGGCAGATGTGGTCAATGCCCTTTGGGGACAAGCCATGGAATCAGTAGAGAAACAAGATTATTATGGCCTGGAGAGAATGAGGCACCTGGGTGTAACCAGAGGTTCAGGCCGGCTCACTAAACACAGAGGAAAGGCAAGACGGTCATTTAACCAGATTGTGACTGGTATCATCAGTATTGGAACTCTGCGCTAGCTGCTGAAGAGGAGGACGGGGAACACATGGGAATGCTCGGAGTGCTGAGATGTCACTTCTTGACTCAACTCAACATAACTCAGCATCTTTTGGCCGAACATGTCTGGTTGTCAGCAGACTTAATTTTACAGCATGCTTTTTTCCTCTCCAGAATGAGGCTCTGGAATCCTCATTAGGAGTAGCTGTGACAAAGCCTACATCTTTTAATTACATTTTCAGAAATGTTGAAAATATTTAAAATCTTTTGCTTGTAAAATGTTTCTTTCCTTGATGATCATCAGGAGAACAGTTATCTGTGGAGACACTGTGGATCATCTCCCTTGCTCTGAAAGTGCTTAACCAGTGTTTCAAGAATGAAAGGGTTTCATCCATTAGCAAGAAGATCTTCTCAAGCAGCTTTATCCAGTCCCTCGTCTACCTGGCATGTACTGGTACAGGCTTGAACCAGAACTGGCTTCTCAAGGATCTGGAAGTAGGCTGATGTTCTGTCAAAACAAGTTGCTTTTTTTTTAAAGGGTATAATTTGTGTTATGATTGTATTAGACTCACAAAGCAAGCTGAGAAAGATATGCTTCATGAAGAGTGTCATGCACAGTTTTAGATACCACAGATAAATGGTACCCTTTGGATGTTTTCTCCAAAGCTTTCATTTGGATGTTTTCTCCAAAGTTTTGTCAAGAAAATTCCAGTTAGTTATTGTAGTCTAGTGGTTGTCCCACTCTCCAAATTATCTGGTAGTCTTTGGTTCGGATTCCACTGGAAGCAGATTTTGTATGGATTACATGGCTCTTGGGTCAAGTTAAAAAGTAAAGGACCCTTATCATGGCAGTGGCTCATTGGGCCTGTGGTGCTAGATTTTTTTTTTTCAAATAGACCAACTGGCATGTGGCAGGTTATGTTGTTAGTATTACGCTGGCTGCCTTTACTTCCCAGTACATTACCTGGTACACATTTTAGGCTGGGTTGACCTGAAAGTTAAGGTCAATTTTGAAGACAATCCGACTCTGTGTGATTTTGAGTCCATAATACTTTAAGTCAGCATGAAGGTGTCTAGCCACTACACTGCCACGGCTCCCTGGGTTATGTTAGCCTCATAGAAATGGCTTCTTCTTCTTCTTCACTTCCTCTTTTACCGCTGTGGGTGTCGAGGGAGATATAAGGTTCTGTTTCTAGCTCTTCTGGCTGCCTCGACCATAGGCACTTCGTGCTGTTGTAGAGTTTCTCTGATGTTATCCTTCCATCTTGTTCTTGGTCTACCCCGTGCTCTACGTCCTTCTTCTCTTTCCATGTATGCTTTGTATGGTATGGTGTCACAAGGCATTCTCTCTAAGTGGGCAAACCATTTCACTTGCTGTCTTTGTATGTAATCCAGAATTGGTTCTGTTCCGACTTGTTCTCTTATGATCTCATTCCTGATCTATCTCTTATGGTCACTCCTACAGCCCTTCTCAGACATCTCATTTCCGTGGTTACTAATTTTCTTTTATGGTTTGTTGTGAGTGACCATGTCTGGCACTGGTAGCACAGAGTTGGAATAAATATGCTTTGAATAAGATGTCTCTTTGTGCTGATCGGGATTGTCTTATGCTGTAAGAGGGGGGCTAGCTGTCCCAATACTTGGTTTGCTTTACTGCATCTAATTAAATTTTTCTATATCCAATTTCCCATCTTCAGTAAATGTAGTTCCCAGATATTTAAACTCAGATGCCTGTTTAATGCCTTTGTATTCTATTGCTATGTTTAGATCTGTCTTCTTTTTTCCTATTGACATTACTTCTGTCTTTTCAGTGTTGATTCTCATATTATTTGTTTTACATTCTTCATTCATGGATGTTAGATGTTGTTGCAATTTCATGGCTGTATCTGCTATCAAGGCCTGGTCATCTGCAAAGAGTAATTCGTTGATCTTACTAAGATCTTCATTCATGGGCTTGGCATTCTTGCATATACTGTCGATGTAGGTGATAAACAGCAGTGGTGATAAGACACACCCCTGTCTTACTCCAGATGTCACTGTGAAAGGATGAGATGTTCCCTGATTTATTCTAACTACACTTCTACAATCCCTGTATAAACTTGTGCACACTTCGATGAGGTGTTCGCTTACTCCATATCTTGCCATTATTTTCCATAATAATTGTCTGTCGACTCTGTCAAATGCCTTCTCCTGGTCTACGAATGCCACAAATAAGTTCTTATTGTATTCAATGTTCTTTTCTATTAACTGTTTTAAGTGTGAAGATTGCATCTGTGCAGCTTTTATTTCTCCTAAATCCCATCTGTTCTTCTGCCAGCTGTGGTTCTATCACTGGTCTCAGTCTTGTTTCTATTATCTTGGCATACATTTTGCCAACATGGCTCAAAAGAGAGATGCCTCGATATTGACCGCATTCTCGTTTGCTTCCTTTGTTCTTCCACAATGGTATAACTATTGCATGTTGCCAATCAATAATAGAAATGGCTACCAGAAAATATTTTAGGAAGTTAAGGATGATTTCCTTGGTACGGGCCACATTACCTGTTGTATTCCTGGCACTATCCTGATGCATCATATGGCCTGCAAATGGGAATTTTAAAGAAAGGCCCACTTTAACAGATAATTGAACCCATAATGCAGTGTTGGCTAGCCAGTACTTTATCTCCTGTGCTGCTTATCCCTCCAAACATCATGTTAGGATCAAATAATGAGGTTGGTTCTCTTTCTCTATTTAGGTTCTGTCTCTTATTTGGTACACCCACGATGGCTCTTCTCTGAAGAAGACAAAAATGAGCAGTCTAAAGGAGAAGACCAAAAAGAGACAGTCTGAAGAGAAGGATGTCAAGGACCCTTTCAACAACAACAACATTGATGCTGCATTCAAGGAGGATGATGATAATCTTGATGATATTGATGAAGATGATGACGACGATGATGATGATAGTAGTAGCAGTAATTCTGAAATGGACAACGATAAAGATTCTGACAGTGATGATCTGGACTGGCAGAGTGCACCTGAAAGTACTGAAGATGAAGACAGACTTCTAGGGTTGACCAAGGCAGAAAGTGCTGAAGATACTCTTTGGGGAGCAGTACAAGTTGATCAGACAACAAAGGATCTGTTACAGGTAGGTTCATTGGTCACTTAGCAACAAAATAGGTCATTGTACTAAAGAAAAACTGATAGATAACCAGTTTCACTCAGTATAAACAGTATGCAAAATTATGCTTATCAGAATTTGAGTTATTATTGTCCTTGTTACAATTCTGACAGTTGTTCTTCATTATTGAAATCAATCAATAAAAGTTTTGTTCATTTATGCTTTTTATTTTCCTGCTATTGTGTTCCCTGATCACATGCAGTACAGATGAAGCCTTTGTTGGCCTTAACAACACACATGCTAGGTTCCAATGCTACTATTTGTTACTCTCTTTAAGGCCTCCAGTAACAGTTGTCCACATTAACTGTTTACTACTCAGGAACCTATTTCAGTTCCTTGAGATGTAAGGGAAATATGCTAGTTTCTTCTGTTTTTTCCCCTAATTAAGCATAGACCATTAATCACCTGATGCCAGACTCTACCCACCTTAACAATCTCCTATTGATCCTTCTCTGCTTTTCTGCTTTTCAAACATAACATCCAACTGTTACTAACTCTCTTTGTTCTTTTCAATTGGATAACATTTGGTGCATGCATATGAAAGGCTAGGTAGAGGAGACGAGACATCATTTTTGTTCAGTCACAGTCGTCCCCTTTGTGGGATGCCATTTTTCGTTATTTGAAGCCCCACCCTGGCTTTTGCCGGGGGCATTGAATATAGCCGGGCCGTAAATATAGCCTAACGGCTAAAAGGGGTTTCTGGGACCTCTCCATGGGTAATCCTCATCCGCATGGTGGCACTTTGTGTCACTGGATATTTATTTCTTGTGTGATGTCCTTGTGGGGTACAAGAGAGAGATCTGCATATAAAGAGAAGAACTGAATGGACTAGAGGAGACAAGACATACCTAGAAAGACCTGGATACAGAAATGAACTGAATGGACAGACTTCAGGAATGCAAATGTCAAACCCATTGCATCTGACTGACAGAGAGGGAGGGAGCTGATCAGCAGCTGGTGGCCCACTGACACATGGTATTATGGGACTATGGTGATATCCATGCAGACCTCTTCACATATCCTGTGTATTGTCATGTCCGTACATTAGTTCCCAATGAATATAGCACCTGTGTGTGCTTTTTTCACAGAATCTGTGTATTGTTATCTCTGTACATTAGTTCCCAGTGAATGTAGCACCACTGTGTGTTCCATCCAGAGGATCTATGTATTGTTATGTCTGTACGCTAAACAAATGTAGCATCTATGTGTTTTCGATCCACACGATTTATGTATTGTTATGTCTGTACGCTAGTTTGAATGAATGTACCATCTACGAGTGTGTGTTCTGTCCACAGGATCTATGTATTGTTGTGTCTGTATGCTAGTTTAAATGAATGTAGCATCTGTGTGTTTTCGATCCACAAGATTTATGTCTGTATGCTAGTTTGAATGAACGTAGCATCTACGAGTATATGTGTTCTGTTCACAGGATCTATGTATTGTTGTGTCTGTATGCTAGTTTAAATGAATGTAGCATCTGTGTTTTCCATCCACAGGATTTATGTATTGTTATGTCAGTATGCTAGTTAAATGATTGTAGCACCTATGTGTGTTCTGTCCACAGGATCTGTGGGTTGTTATGTCTGTATGTTAGTTTGAATGAATGTAGTAGCATCTACAAGTATGTATGTTCTGTCCACATGGTCTGTGTATTGTTATGTCTGTAAGTTAGTTCGAATGAATGTAGCATCTATAAGTAAGTTTGTTCCATCTACAGGATCTGTGTATTGTTATGTCTGTAAGTTAGTTCGAATAAATGTAGCATCTGCGAGTATATGTGTTCTGTCCACAGGATCTGTGGATTGTTATGTCTGTACACTAGTTCAAATGAATGAAGCACCTATGTGTGTTCTCTCCACATGTGTATTGTTATGTTTGTACGCTAGTTCGAATGAATGTAGTATCAGTGTGTTCCGTCCACAAGATCTATGTATTATTATGTCTGTATGCTAGTTCAAATCATTTACAAGTGTGTGTGTTCTGTCCACAGAGTCTGCAGACAGAGCTGGACATTCCCCCTGCTGTTTTACGAGCATTGTGTAACATGAATGAAGGCAAGACTGAAGGGATCATCAAGTCTATAGTGGAGAAGTTAGTGTCTGTGTTATGCTGTCATGTCATTAATAATACTTTAGCAAGTTGTACTTTGTGTTGTGTTCATGCCGTCTTTATGTAGTACCGTAGATGAATGTTATGTCTTGTTTCTTATGGCTGCACACATAATTGATTAAAGATCCTGCATGTTTGTCAAGACCGACCAAGAAAAAAGGAAAGAACTCTTTGATGGCACATCGTTTTCTTGACCCGGGTCATATAATTAAAATGAACTGGGCTTCCATTCCATCTTATTTATCTCACACCAAACAGGTTAAAACTTGAATTGGCATAAGCTGTAACAATAAAAATGAACAACCCTACAGTGGGCTGACAAAAAAAAAAACATGAAGTAAATGTCAAACTGCTGTGACTGCCTTGAACTTTTAGTCATGAATGATGTGTAGTGTAACTAGGGAAGACTGCAGTGTTTGTATTTCAGTGAAAATGATTCAGTTTGTTTCATTATACAGATGTTGATATAACTTTGCAGTAATGCATCTTACGAGGCAGTTAACTTTGCCAGACATTAAATTGTGCAATGTATTGTTTATGTCCATGTTTGTTAAATTCACTACAGGAAAAACATTTTTAGTTTTTTTAAATGTTGATTTTTAGAATAAAAATGTGATTTTTAACTTTGGAGGACTTGCGGTATCTTTAGATTTTGTAGTGAATGCTCCAAGACTTCCTATGAAATCACATTTTTTGTTGTTTTGACTCAAGATTTGGTTTCCTACACAGTCAGCTGTCTCATGAAGTCATGTTTTATATCTTTTCTCCAGCTTTGGTGAAAATGATGAACGAGTTAGCGGTTTCCTGGAGAAATGGTCAGTATTTCCTCCATTCATTCTTACATTGTTTCCATTGCTTATGCTGGCATGTGTTCATTCACATATGCATTCATACATATACACATATGTGTTATTAAGATACAATGGTTTGAAATCTTTTGCCAACCCAAGGGTTAGGTTAAAATCTCCATCAGGGTGGATTTTTATAATTGAACAGAGCTTACAGGTCAACCCACCCTAACCTGGGTACCAGGATATATCCAGGAAGGTAAAGGTGGCTGGTGTTACGTTGATCACAGCACTGATCAGTACACATATGTCCCTATGTGTGTTCCAGGGCCCCATTCGAGGGGGGGGGGGGGTGTGAGAGAATAGACCTACTGCCCCCAATAAGCATGTCATAAAAGATGACTTATAAGGGATATGTCCTTTGAAGTCCGAGTGCATCTCAGCAAGGAACAAATAGAATGTGTACAAATAAACCAGATCTGTAAAACCCAAGTACTGGAAGAAAAGTCCAGAAGTGGATGAACAACCAGACATTTCTACTGGAGTTTACAGCCAGTGAACGTGAAGAAGAAGTGTACACATGTAGTAAACTAGTCCTTATATAATCATGTTTACATATTGTTTTGTAAATGTTTATGATCTGTTAGGAAATCCAACGCGGTGACAGGCAGTGAGAAAAAAGATTCCCCCACTACTGAAGATTCAGCCATAGACACAGGAGTTTCTACACACCCGAGTGGTGGGAAAACTCGCAAGTAAGTTTTTTTGGATTGCCATCATAGAAAAATTTGAATTATAACTGGTTTTCCTAAAGATAAATTGAAATTGACTGTGGCACCCTTTAATTGATACCAGTTACCAGATACCTGGCAAGTAAAGGCATTCAGCATGATGTTAATTACATGACCCAGTGAGTGCCAATCGGTGTATACAAATATGAGAATGGCATTATTTGCCTGATGCGCCAAAGGTGTAAAGAGGGTCCTTTTATATGTTAGTCAAGGGTGCTCCCATGAAGAAAAAAATGTGATAACTTAATGACTTTGTGGGTTCCAATTCTTCTAGCAAACATTTCAACATAGTTTTATCTAATATTTCTGAGTTACAATCCTTGCCATTCACACCTTTTTTCTTCTTTTTTTTTTTGTGTGTGTGTGCTGTAATTAATATTCAGTGGTCACACATGCGTGAGAAATTCAATGAGCCAGACAGATATGTGATTCCTCTCAGAGATACTTCGCTTGAGTGATTTTGTGTATTCTTGTTCATGTAGGTGATATTGTATAGTCTCTAGCTGCAACATTAACTTGTCATTTGTGTTTATGTTAATGTGAAGCTGACTACTTTTGTGTTTGGTTTAATATCTTTTCATGGAATCTTGATGACAATTGGCAAACTTGGTGAAAAGTTAAGGGAAGATAAAGAGATGAATATTTCAATGGCTTGGCCTCACGATATAACCAATACAAGACTCAGACCTGTACAGTGTAAAATTCAGCAGACGATGCTACTCTGATCGTCTAGGACAGTCTTTCATACAGTTGTTTGTTGGTCCACTGACCCTCAGGAGTCTGCAGAACAAATTTAAGGGGTCAGGGATATCGTTTACAACGTCCCTTCCCCCTTACCCTATGGTTTTGGAACCCCATTGTGGGGGGGGGGGGGGGGGGGGGGGGAACAAGAATAGACCCACTGCCTCCTTAACAAGCATGTTATAAGAGTCGACTAATTGAATCAGAGTGCATCTGCTTGAGAGGCAAGGAACTAACGATCTGCAGATAAATAGGTCTGATCTGTAAAACTGATGTGCACACAACACTCAGATTTTGGAACAAAACCCAAAGTCCAGAGGTGGACGAACAACCATAACTTTCCACCAAAGTTTACAGCCGATGAACGCGAAAAAAAAAATTTACGAAGACAGGCCTCAGCTATAAAGTGTATTCCTTTTAATGATTGTAAAAAGTAAGTAAAGGTCCCTTTTCCACGCCTTTAGGTGTATAGGGCATATAGGGCTAGACCTATATTTTTATAGACCAATTGGCACATGATGGGTGATGTGGTCAGCATCATGCCGGCCACCTTTACTTCCCGGGAATGCACCTGATACCCACTTAAGGATGGGAGTTGAGGTCAATTTTTTAAAAAAGTCCAGCTCCACCAGCGAGCGAACCCACGACCTTCCTGATCTGTGCGCGAGTTGCTAGCCACAGCTACTCCCTTTAATGATTGTAATATTTATCAATTAAAATAAGTTCTTCAGTGTGACTGGTCAGAAGTATCGGGCCATGGCAGACTTTCATAAATAAGAGCGGTCTAGTTGGTTGGCACCTTTCTGTCTTTCCACTTTACAGTGTTATATTGTGCTATGAAGAGGTATAGGTTTCGCAACCCATGGCGATGGCAAGAGTGACTAACAAGACCCGCCCATCTTAAGAAAAGTTTCCCACAAATAGCACATGGGATTTCAGGACTGTTATTGCCATCATTTGTATGTCCCACTTACACACATCTCAATATTGTAGAAGAGGCCCCCCTTGATATCTTCTGCCCATCTGTAATTCAAAATAGAGGATGTCCTTAGGGACTGTACTATTCTCCATCTTCCAGGTATGACACAGCCACCTGAGCCTTTGGAGACTAAGCATTGAGAAAACTATTGTAGTACCTGATCTTTCCAATAGTTTAGTGTTAGTGATCTTGTCATGCCTGATATTCTTCTTATAAATAATATGTGAAAACTATTCAGTCATTTCTCCTGATTTCTCCTCTATTTTGAAAGCTGACCAAGTTTCAATGATGTAAAAAAAGAGTGCTGAGAATCTTCCTCTAAATAGCTCAAAGCTTGGGCAGTATTATAAAGACTATGTGTTGAAACCTCTAGTTTAGGATATTAGAAAAGGCAAAGCAAGGCATCACATAGTATTTTAATTAAATACAAACAAACTTTGTGTCTATTTGTGGTAAATGTTTTTTTCCTTTTTTTAATTTAAGAATTCCAGAGGTAGCAGATCCAGAGACGGGAGACAATCCTCAGAATCTGTTCAAACAGCAAGAGACCTTGGCAGGAGAGATTGGAGAAAGGCTGCGAGGAAAGAGTGCACAGTTGCTCAAGAAGGAATTAGAGAAACATGGTCGATCAGGATCTCGGGAATACCTTCTCAAAGTTAGTTGCTTGTCTGGTGTGATATCCTTTCTTTGTTTAGAGTTATCTTCCATGATTGTCTGTCGTTCCTCATTGAGGGTTATCTTCCATAATTAGAAATCCTGTTCTTGAAGAATATTTTCTGACTTGCCTACATATCATTCTTATGTTTGAATCAGCATTGTATTTATAATTAACCTTAGGCCTCCTAAGAATATACCCACTGCCTCCCTAATGAGTGTGCCGTAGGAGGCAACTAATTAGGGGTGTTTCATTTGAAATCGGAATGAGTCTACCTGAGAGCCAAAGAACCAGTCTGCATACAAATTAACCAGATCTGTAAAACAATTGTGCACACAAAACAAATTCTGGATAAAGACCAAAGTCCAGGAGTGGATGAACAAACAGAACTTATACCAGAGTTTACAGCCAGTGAACGCCAAGAACAAGAAGAAGACCTAAGTTCCCAGATTGACCCAAATTAATATGGAGACAAGGAGTTTCTGTTAGGAGGTAAGGAGGGCTGGCATGGTTTTGACCACATCATCCATTGAATGCTGATTGGTCTGTAAAAATATTAGTCTAGTATTGTATGCGGACTGTCCCACTCATGTGAACAGTGACCTTTACTATGTATTTGTTTTAACTTCATCTCATTGGTTGACTTAGCTCATAAAATATTTAACACTTGCCACACTTCAAGTGTTGACACTTAAGAAGTTTAGTTACACATTAAACATTTGTTGTTCATTTCAAAACTAGACAGCTTCCAATCTAAAACCACCTGATCCAAGTCTACTCTTTGACACTCGAAAAATTTTTTTTTAATTTTTAATTGTGCAAACTATTTGAAACTAGGCAGTCTTGTAACTTTACTCCTCTGAGTCAAAATCACATGATTTCACTCTAGAATTGAAAGTGACCATGGAAGAAAATGTTCACACTACTACAAATTTTCAAACCTACTGTTTATAGAACTACTGGATTCCAGGACCCCATTTTGGAAGGAAAAACTAGACCCACAGCCTGTTAAAAAGTATGTTGTGAAAGACAGCTTATTACAGCTTTGGGGAAGAAATGGGTTTTCAGCCTAGTTGTAAATCACATCACAATATACCAAGTGCTGTTTCAGGGGTGAGAAATGGGATTACAGCCTAGCTGTAAATCACATCACACTATGCCAAGTGCTGTTTTAAGGATAAGAAATGGGATTTCAGCCTAGCTGTCAATCTATCACAGTATGCCAAGTATTGTTTTAGGGGGGAGAAATGGGATTTCAGCCTAGCTGTAAATCACATCACAGTATGCCAAATACAGTTTTAGAAGTAAGAAATGGGATTTCAGCTTAGCTGTAAATCATATCACAGTATGCCAAGTACTGTTTTAGAGGTAAGAAATGGGATTTCAGCCTAGCTGTAAATCATATCACAATATGCCAAGTAGAACATTTTAGATGAATGTTTGCTGGATATTGATACCACATGGACTAAAAATGCCTAGGCTGTGGATGAAGCGATTTTTTCCAAAGCAAGACGCGTAGTATGATCGCCAGAGCAAGATTTTACATCAATGATGAACTGCATTTCTAATGTTGGACTGTTTGTGTTAGCACTTCGGATGGCTACCATATGTGTTAATGCGAGTGTATGCTAGATATGCTGAGACAGCAGTCTGTCAATGATTGACTCAATCTTTCCACAAGGGACTGTGATAAACATTCTGGGTGTTTTTCGCTGGCACAGGAGCGGAGCAAAGATGGGGCGACCCGTTTGCTATGAAGCTGAAACTAAGACTACCAGACTACCAGACTACTATTTTTGGGATAAGAAATGGGATTTCAACCTAGCTGTAAATCACATCACAATATGCCAAGAACTGTTTTAGGGGTATGTGCAGAAGAAGAAAAAAAAAGGGTTGCTAACCAAAATGTGGTGACCACTAGGTTCACAATGGGTACTTAGCTCCATTGGTACTTATAATTTATGTGCTTGTTTATAGTAAAATATTCCTACTGTGAAAGCAGGGTTCACATTTAATCTTATGTGGTGTGACCCGGTGTGTGTATAATCACTCAGGCTGTCATATTTTTGCTTCCTCCCTTCTTTATACATGATTTGGTCAACATTATGCCAGCTGCCTTTACCTTGCATGACTTAACCTGGTACCCATTTAAGGCTGGGCCGACCTGAGAGCCAAGGCCATAATTAAAGGGGGAAAAAATATCTCCATGTGGATAGGAATCCACAATCTTTGGATCCGCAGGCTGGCCTCTAGTCGCAACACCATGGTGGTTTTTAGTCTGTTTTACAGCATCCTAGTTAAGGAGCCAGTTCCCCACACCCCCACCCAGCTAATGGGTGTCTGGAAGGCATACAAGTGATAACCCTGTCTATCCAAAATCCAAGGCAGTTGAAGCTCTGTTTGTTAATGTATTTTGACTCAATGCTGTCCAGACTTATTACATTAAAATAGCAAATGTACAGTACAGAATTCATGTCCAGTTATCATAAAACAGTGAAATAGGCTGGGAATCATTCATTGTCTTGTTCTGCCATTATATATCAGGAATTCCAGAGAAATTTGACTAAAAAGCTTAACCAAATGGGGAAGCAGAAAAACGTACACAAAACAACACAAATAATGTAATGTTTCGGCCGGGCATCTTTTTTTTAAAAATATGAAGTGAACTACACAAAAATAACAACGAGGAGAGGAGAGTATACAGATCTCTAAGGGTGACATGAACGAGGTTTTTTTTTTTTTTAAATGTGATGTGGAATGAATGAAATAAAATAAAATAAACGATGGCTAAACAAATATAACCGCAAAAAATAAAAAGTAATATTTTTAATATATAATAGTGGGAATAAAAGAAAAACAAATGTTAATGATACATAAATGATACTGATAAGAGATAGAATAAAGTAATAATATGAAATAGAAGAAAAGAAAAGAATTAACATTTAAAATGTGAAAAGAGTAGAACATTTTAAATGAATGTATGCTGGATATTGATACCACATGGACTAAAAATGCCTAGGCTGTGGATGAGGCGATTTTTCCAAAGCAAGGCACGTAGTATGATCGCTAGAGCAAGATTTTAATCCTGTGACAGATAATCATCTTTACCTCTATGGTCAGAGCTGTTAAAATGGAGAGGAATTGGTTTAAGTGTCTTTTTGTCAATATCGGAGAGATGTTCCCGGAAACGATCAGCTAACTTCCTGCCAGTTTCCCCAGCGTATGCTTTGCTGCATCATTTGCAGATTATTGCATAAATTATGTTGCGAGATTCCTTGTATTATCTAGACTGCAGTCACCCCCTGTTTTCACCATTATGTATCAGATAGGGTTCACAGTCTGTTTCTCAGTTCTGTTCTATCCTCTGCTGTCACCTCAGTCTCCTGGATGAAATCCAGTCCAGCATCTTCATCTTCTCTCATCAGCTTTTACCTGAGGGTTTCTCTTGGATGTCCTCTTTTCCTCAGTCCATCTATTTCCCATTTCAGTGCTGGGCGTCAGCAAGTTTCTGTTTAAGGTCATGTGCAAGGACCCAGGAACCCAGCATAGTGACTTTGGTACCCATAATTAAGTTTTTCTTAACTCTTTGAGTCCCGGGGGGGGGGGGGGGGGGGGGGGGGGGGGGGGGGGGGGGGGGGGGGGGGGGGGGGGGGGGGGGGGGGGGGCATCACAGGCCCAGGGGTAGTAAAGAAAGTAATAAAATTGGCGCATCATGCGTTCATTGGGCTTCTAGGTAGGAACCTATGAATATATGATGCACCGATTTTATTACTTTCTTTACTACCCCCTGGGCCTGTGATGCTAACCCCCCTGGGACTCAAAGAGTTAATTATTCATTTCATTCATTGTTTCCCAAGGTGAACATGGCTATGTGTGTTTTGTATGCCCGACACACTTTGACCGGCCTCCTTGCCTACTGGCCAGACACTGGTCCAGCCATCAGTTCCAGTCTGCTGGGCTGTAAGGATGTGAAACAGATTCCCTGTGTCCTGGACCTTCTCTACAAGATTGACACACACAACTTTTTCAGCAAGGTAAACTTATGTCTGTATTTGTTGCAGTTGTTATTTTTATAGATCTAGTGACACACATCTTTTCAGCAGTGTAAACTAACATATTCATTTGCTCATCTATGCAGACATATATTTTGTTGTTATTGCTAAAGTTCTTGACACAGATCAGGCAGTACTTGATTTCTGCGAATGAGTGAATAAAAAAATGCATCACTGAGTTCAGGACATTCCCACACATTCTCCAATCCTTCCTCAGTAGCTAACGAAGTGTTAACATGCTTATAGTACCAGTTGCAACCTGATTAAAATTCTGCCTGTTTTCCCTGTCAGTGATGAATATCTTCTAAAATGTCTACTTACTTGCTGTTGAATTAGTCTTCAGTGTATTGATTCACTGTCTGTTATGTTGCTCTGCCCATTTGTTCCCAGAGAGCTTTCACCACTTCCACTTTATCATAAAGTAGCTCACCAGCCACAGGAAATACAGCAGCTTATTTATCAGCCTGCTCATTGCCTTACAAACCTGAATATCCTGGATGGAAACTCCATGGTGTCTATGTCATGTTGTAGTGATTAGCAAGTGTTTATCGGCTGCTGTTTTGTTCCATAGAAAAAGCGATGCAAGACAAGCTAGATGTAGCTTTGGATGCAGGTGGACTGTGATGAAGCTTTGGATGCAGGTGGACTGTGATGAAGCTTTGGATGCAGGTGGACTGTGATGTAGCTTTGGATGCAGGTGGACTGATGAAGTTTTGGATGCAGGTGGACTGTGATGTAGCTTTGGATGCAGGTGGACTGTGATGAGCTTTGGATGCAGGTGGACTGTGATGAAGCTTTGGATGCAGGTGGACTGTGATGAAGCTTTGGATGCAGGTGGACTGTGATGAAGCTTTGGATGCAGGTGGACTGATGAAGCTTTGGATGCAGGTGGACTGTGATGTAGCTTTGGATGCAGGTGGACTGTGATGAAGCTTTGGCTGCAGGTGGACTGTGATGAAGCTTTGGGTGCAGGTAGACTGTGATGTAGCTTTGGATGCAGGTGGACTGTGATGAAGTCTGAAGAGATATGGTTGTTCATCCACTTCTAGGCATTAATCTTGTTCCAGAACTGGAGTTTTGCATGCACATCCATTTTACAGATGTGGCTTATTTCTCTGTAAACAATCGGTTCTTTGCCTCTCAGGCACATGCACTTTGACTTTGAAGAAAACCTCTCTAATTAGTTGCCTTGTGTGACATGCTTGTTATGAGGGCATTGGGTTGATTCTTTTTCCCCCTGAAATTGGGCCCCCGAACCTACATGGGGATGTCTTATCTTTAATATCAGTACTTTCTTATCTTTAATATCAGTACTTTCTTATCTCTAATATCAGTACTTTCTTATCTCTAATATCAGTACTTTCTTATCTCTAATATCAGTACTTTCTTATCTTTAATATCAGTACTTTCTTATCTCTAATATCAGTACTTTCTTATCTTTAATATCAGTACTTTCTTATCTTTAATATCTGTATCAGACTACGGAATTGACTTACCCTTTCAGGTTGTGAACAGAGTCATACATATGTGTGACGCAGGCAGCCTGATGCCCATTGCTTACACAGCCGCCCAGTTCATGGAGGAGGTGACCCTGCCAGCAGTCATCCGAGAGTCCAACCATGACTACACGGAGAAAGACAAGCGACGAGACAACATCCAGCTGCCAGGAGCCTCTTACCTGACAGTCACATTTGACAGCAGGTTAGATTATACTCTGAGCCTCCAATGACATAGTTTTTACCTTTACTTACTTGGTATTTAACTCCATTGACATGGTTTTAACTCTGTTCTCATTGTATTTAACTCCAGATATGTGGTATTTAACTCCAGTGACACGGTATCTAACTCCACCGATATGGTATTTACCCCCAGAGACATTTCATTTAAATCCAGTGACATGGTATTTACCTCCAGGGACATTATTTTTACCTCTACTGACATGGTATGTGCCTACAGGGATGGCGTATTTTAACTCTGATGACATGGTCTTTTACCTCCATAGACATGGTATTTACCTCCAAGGACATTATTTTTACCTCTACTGACATGGTATGTGCCTACAGGGATGGCGTATTTTAACTCTGATGACATGGTTTTTTACCTCCATAAACATGGTATTTACCTCCAGCTACATAGTGTCATGGTAGAGAAATGTCTTTTTTTTTTAAATATTCTACATTATTGTCCTATGTTGTTTGATTGTTGTCTTCAGGCATTCTGTAGCTTGTTTGTTATCTTGAGGTGTTATACTGTTGTTTATCTTCAGCTGTGCTACAGTTTATTATCTCAGCTGTTCTATAGTTTATTAAATTCTGATGTTCCTCAGATTGTTCATTATCTTCAGATATTCTGTGGTTTTTGTCTTCAGTTGTTCCCCAATTTATTATATTCAGGTGTTGTGTAGTTTGTTAAATTCTTCTTCTTCTTGGTTTGTTAAATTCAAGTTGTTTATCTTCAGATGTTCTACTATTTATTTTCTTCAGCTTTTCCACATTTTATCATCTTCAGGTGTTGTATAGTTTAAGTTTAAGTTTTTTACTATCTTCAGGTGTTCTTTGATTTATTTTCTTCAGCTTTTCCACATTTTATCATCTTCAGATGTTGTATAATTTGTTAAATTCAAGGTGTTTATTATCTTCAAATGCCTTTACAATATATTGTCTTTAGCTGTTCCACAATTAACTTCAGGTGTTCAAAATGTTGATTCACATTACTTTTTATATTTGTGTGTTCGATAGATTGTTAAATTCAAATGAAATTAGTATATTCAGGTGTTCTGAGATTTATTATCTTTAACTGTTTCACAATTTATTATCTTCAGGTGTTCCACAATTTGATCATTGTCATCAGATCATTTTCCGCTTCTTTATTATCTTCATCCGTTCTATGTCATGGTTAGATGTTATTTTAAGAAAATCATAACCTTTTGGTTATTTTAATATGTTCGTGAATATCTTTCTAATCTACAGATGTTCGACAGGAGATGAAGACACTCTGATGTTCTCAACACGGAAGCAGATGGACAGTGATCTTCATGTTTTCTCGGGATCAACCAGAGCTCGGTGGACATCTTTTCTTCTGCCAGGTAAACTATAAACACACCAGAATCAGCCTTCTTCTTCGTCTGCTGCCTTTTATCCACAGTGGAACACTGGCTCTTAACCATGTCATAGATGATTGGCCTTTGCATCTAAAGCTTTTCACCAGCTGGCATATCAAACTAAATAAAAACCAATACTGTCCTTAATTTTCTCTTGTGATATGTTTGGTAGGGTAATGTGTACTATTGTTTGCTTTCTTTAAGGGCTATGGTAACAGAGTTGGTTCTCATGATTATTTTTTTAAACAGAACCAACATTGCACTTGGGACACCAATGTACGCTGTCTCTCTCATTTCACATTATGTCATCGATATAGGTGCTCTCTCTTCTTCATTGATCATCTGTTGCTGTGTATTCCAGTATGGGCCATTTTAACAAAACAGTTCACTTGAGGTTTTCATTGGTGCCCCAGAGTTTTGCTTGTAGTGACACTCCTGTGTGCCTGATTTCTTCTCTTAGACTGGCAAATCTGGACTCTCTTATGAGACATGCTCAGGAGTTTGCTTTGTGAATCACAATCACATGCAGCAGAGCTGGCAAGACCCATTCAGTTTGTGTGTGTACTGTAAGTTTATAGTGTCCTGTTTCTGGGTCTGAAGATTTTGGTGTGTTCTTTTCTGACAGAGGTGCTGTTGGATTCCTGTTTTGCATTGATTATAAATGCACCTCAGTGGTACTACTTGATACAATAGATATTGCATACACTACTACATACAACAAATTCTGTATGCACGACTAGATTCAACAGATGCTAAATACGCCACTAGATACAACAGATTGTACATAAACTATTTGGTCTTCTTCTTTTTCTACTTCCTTCTCCTCTTTTGAAAAATGCCTTGTATGGTATAGTATCAGAAGGCATTCTCTGCAGGTGGGCAAACCATTTTATATGCTGTCTTTGTATGTAATTTAGAATTGGTTCTATGCCGACTTTATCTTGTATGACCCCATTCCTGATTTTGTCTCTTCTGGTCACTCCTGCAGTCTTTCTCAGACACCTCATTTCCATGGTTACTAATTTTTTTTTATATTTTGTTGTGAGTGACCAAGTCTGGCACTTATAGCATGGGGTGGGAATGAATATGCTTTGAACGAGATGTTTCTCTGTGCTGACTGGGATTGCCTTATCATGTAAAAGGGGAACTAGCTGTCCCAATACTTGACCAGCTTTACTGCATCAGATCTCAATTTCTTCGTCCAATTTACCATCTTCAGTGAATGTTGTTCCAAGATATTTAAGCTCAGATGCCTGTTTAATATATGTATGCTCTAATGCTATGTTTAAATCCTGCTTCTTTCTTCCTATTGACATTACTTCTGTCTTTTCATTGTTGATTCTCATTTTATTTGCTTTAGATTCTTCATTCATGGATGTGAGATGTTGTTGCCTCTTCTTAGCTGTATCTGCAATCAAAGCCTGGTCATCAGTAAAAGTAATTCGTGGATGTTACTATTTTTTTTTATTCCTGGGCCATGCATCCTTGCTTTACTAATACTGTCAGTGTATGTGATAAGACACATCCCTGTCTTACTCTAGACGTTACTTTGAATGGTTTAGATGTTCCCTGATTTATTCTAATTACACTTCTACAGTCTCTGTATAAGCTTTTGCAAACTTCAGTGAGGTGTTCACTTACTCCATATTGAACCATTACTTTACCTAATTTGTGTCTGTCAGCCCTGTCGAAAACTTTCTCCTGGTCTACAAATGCTACAGATAGTTCGGATCATATTCCGTGTCCTTTTCTATTAACTGTTCAAGCGTGAAGATTGTATCCGTGCAGCTTCTATTTTTTTCTGAAACCCATCTGTTCTTCTTTTGTTCTATAGACACTACTAGATACAACAAATTGTTCATGCACTACTAGATACAACAAATTGTTCATGCACTACTAGATACAACAAATTGTTCATGCACTACTAGATACAACAAATTGTACATGCACTACTAAATACAACAAATTGTACATGCACTACTATAAACAACAAATTGTTCATGCACTACTATAAACAACAAATTGTTCATGCACTACTAGATGCAACAAATTGTACATGCACTACTAGATACAACAAATTGTACATGCACTACTAGATACAACAAATTGTACATGCACTACTAGATGCAACAAATTGTACATGCACTACTAGATACAACAAATTGTACATGCACTACTAGAAACAACAAATTGTACATGCACTACTAGAAACAACAAATTGTACATGCACTACTAGAAACAACAAATTGTACATGCACTACTAGATACAACAAATTGTACATGCACTACTAGAAACAACAAATTGTACATGCACTACTAGAAACAACAAATTGTACATGCACTACTAGAAACAACAAATTGTACATGCACTACTAGAAACAACAAATTGTACATGCACTACTAGATACAACAAATTGTACATGCACTACTAGAAACAACAAATTGTACGGTACAACAAATTGTTCATGCACTACTAGAAACAACAAATTGTACATGCACTACTAGATACAACAAATTGTACATGCACTATTAGAAACAACAAATTGTACATGCACTACTAGGTACAATAAATTGTACATGCACTACCTGATACAACAAATTGTACATGCACTGCTAGGTACAACAAATTGTACGTGCACTACTAGATACAACAGGCATACACTACTGGGTATACCCAATGCTATATACACTACTAGATATACCCAATGCTATATACACTACTAGATATACCCAATGCTATATACACTACTAGATATACCCAATGCTATATACACTACTAGATATACCCAATGCTATATACACTACTAGATATACCCAATGCTATATACACTACTAGATATACCCAATGCTATATACACTACTAGATATACCCAATGCTATACACACTACTAGATATACCCAATGCTATATACACTACTAGATATACCCAATGCTATATACACTACTAGATATACCCAATGCTATACACACTACTAGATATGATGAACACTGTGCACTACTTACCAAACATGACATCTGCTGATACTGCTGCCTACATTGATCTATCTGTAGGTGACACCCTGTTTTATAAATTCTGCCTGGATGATTATGACCCAGACCTGGGCAGTTACTGGGGTTATAAGTTCACGGTGACTCCTGGAACACGGGACAGTTTTGAGACAGGGCACACAATCCTGGAGGCAGTGTTGTCATCTTCTGTTGCAAGGTAAGGTTGTAAGGGGATTTGTGTTAGTAGCAGGGGTTGGAATTCCAGTTTTGTGACCTGGACTCAAGTGGGACTCTAGTCACATAATTCTTGACTTGGGACTTGTAGCTTTGAAGACTTAGTATAACTCATTCTTTGTGGCTGGCCACTGTGAGGTTTGGTGATGACAGTTTTCTGTAAATTTATTAAAATAACGCCTTCAGTGTTCAGCTCTATGCATTCAAGTCGGCTGTTTACATGCAAAATCAAATCTAACAATTGTTGGCTGTTGTTTTGTTATTATAAAGTGATTTGAATTGGGACTCAACATGGGCTTAGAGGGTGATGACTTAGTCCAATGTCTGGTTGGTAGCAGTAGTGATGAGAATGAAAGTGGTGACAACATTAACGGCTTCTGTAGTGGTGATAATAATGAAAGTGGAAATAATAATGGTTACTATGTGAGACACCCCACCCACATAGGACAGCAGGTTACTTCACAACCATAGTGTGCACTGATATAAGTATTTTATACACAGGTGCTAGGTTTCTTGAATTTCTTGCAGCTAGATCTGCATCTGATAAGTGACTCGTTATGTCACAGGGGGGTTACTCTTTCAGGCAGGAATCCCAAATATGAAACACATTTTAATGATGAAAATGACATAAGTGCCACTTGAAGGGCTAGAGCAGACACAGTACAGACCTAATAAGACACTGTATCCAACATGCTGGTACAATAATGCACGGTATCCAACATGCTGGTACAATAAGGCACGGTATCCAACATGCTGGTACAATAAGGCACGGTATCCGACATGCCAGTACCAATAAGGCATGCTATACAACATGCTGGTACCAATAAGGCACTGAATCTGTATCAGACATGCTGGTACCACTAAGACACTGTATTTAACATATTAGTATTGATAAGACACTGTATTAAACATGCTAGTAACAAAAAGACACTGTATCAGATATGCCAGTGGAAAAAAGACACTGTATCAGACATGTCAGTGACATAATGACACTGTATCAGACATACCAATAACAAAAAGACACTGCGTCAGACATTCCAGTAACAAAAGGACACTGTAACAAACATGCTACTACCAATAAGGCTGTGTATGAAAAATGCCATTACTAATAAGACATTGTTTCAGATATGCCAGAAACAAAAAGACACTGTATCAGACATGCCAATAACAAAAAGATATTATATCAGACCTGTCAGTAAACAAAAAGACACTGCACTGAAAAATGCCAGTACTAAGAAGACATTGTATCAGACATTCAAGTAACAAAAAAGACATTCTATCAGACATGCCAGTAACAAAAAAGACACTATCAAACATGCTGGTACCAATAAGACACTGTGTCAGACATGCCAGTAACAAAAAGACACCGTTTCAAATATCCTAGGATGCTGCCACTAGGCCAGCTGTGGTGCAGCTTGGTTTACGTTGCCTGCAAACAGCCAGGCATCCAGAGACTCAAGGCCATCAGCCTGCTGTTGAAGATCATAGCCCTGGTATGTCGAGAATTTAATTATGAATCTATTTCACTAACCTCAGTGTCACAGAGCTCTATTAAAATAAGCACAAAGCGATAGATATCTGAATGGTTTAGACATATATGCAAAAGCTGAGACAAGAGCACTGACCTGATCTGTAATTCTGGTGATCATTTGGGATGGCAGACCAAGACCGACTATAATATTCAACTGGGGACATGATAATGATGGGGCGTGGAAGATATAAGAGCAACAATCACTTGCTGCATTTATTTCATATTCATACAAATACACATGTGATCATGTTTTTCCAGACTTTTTCCTTGTCTGTTTTCTGTGTCCTCTTTCTTCCTCTTCTTCTCCTCCTCTTCCTTTTTTCTTCCTCTTCTTCTCCTCCTCCTTTCTTCTTCTTTTTTTTCCCTTATGCAGCCGTGGATGATAAGCCCTCAACCAGCTCATAACAAGTAGTTTAGTTTTAGCGAATTACCATTGATCTGTCTTAATATTCTTCTCTTGAAAATCATTAGTAATTTATGAAGCTGCCTTTATTATTCATTTTTCTTAAATATTTAGCAGATTTTGATTGTTTTTGCATCTTTTGTTCATCTTTAGCATCGTCTGCTTATTTACAGAATAAAACTGCCCCACACATTGATCTGAAGATACTAAAGCCGCTCTGGGATCTCTACCAGAATATGACAAAAGATGAAAAGGATCCAAACATGATTCAGCCTGCAGTAGTTCGATCTTTGACTGAACTTTTTCTTCACGCTGAAAATCTGGCCATTGTGAGTAACCAAACCTTGTTTCACTAGTCAATGTACTGCCCAAGCAGTCTAAAATATTTATGATTTTTTAATTAACATTTGCAATTTTTGACTCTTTCACCCCTTGATTGCTAATTTTAAAAAATGGGCCATGAACACCAAGGAATTACCGGAAAATCTTTTTTTTTTTTAAAAACATATTACAAAAGTTACTAATAAATGTTTTAAAATATATTTATCTAACATTTTTAATTTATTTTTTATTTTCAAAATATAAAATGATATAAAAAAAAAAAAAAAAAGGTTTTCAGTAAACAGGAAACAGTGAAGTTTGATATTGCAGCAGCCTGCTGATGATAGAACAGGTTCAGATGAGCTACAGTCATCCTGGAGATAGGAACAACATTTCCTTAAAGTGCTGCTGCTTCATAAGCAAGGAAGCAGTAGAGGTACAGATCTGTAAAACAGATTTACATGCAGAACTTCAGTCCCAGAACAAAACCAAAGACCAGAAATATGCTAACAGCCAGGACTTTGTGAAACAAACAAATAAAATTACTTCAGCAGTCAGAAAATTATCAGTCGTGGTTTCACGGTTAACATGGTGGCCATGTGTTCAAATCTCCTTGAAGGGATTTTGTTTAAAATGGCCTGGTTTTCAGGTTGACACAGCCTTTGAAGGCGTACCCTGAAATATTCTGGGAAGTAAAAGTGGTCTATATGACACTGACCACATCACCCACCCACTACTGATTGGTATAAATAGTTATAGTACTAGTATAAATAGGCACTTTACTTCATGTTGTGGAAAAGAAGAAACCAGCTTGAGGCCTCAGAAATGAGATATCTGAGAAAGGTGGTTCAAGTGACAATGAATGTAGAATATTGTTGAATTAGGAATTGACATAATAGCACTCAGGGCACTCCCAGCAAGCGAAGAGTTTCAGTTCTGATGGCTTCATGGGCTTTCATTTTTTGGTGGATTTCTAATGAATCTTGCCCATATAGTTGTCTGTTTGACCTAGTTTTGTTGGGGGGTGGGGGGGAGGGGGGTCTAGAGATGTGTAATGTTATAATTAAGAATACTGGGAATCGATGTAGTGATGGTTTGTCAGTTTTTTTTGTTTTTTTTAAGGAATGGGATCAAACAGAAGAGTATCTTGTTGCACTTATGGATGTGAATGACGTGTGCTCAAGCATCGTACAGGTAACGTATCCCATCTTTTTTCAAGTAGATCCGTTCAGAACTCTTTTTATCCTAAGCAACGCACCACGAGTGATCAGTTATTGTGGATGCGTATCAACCAATGCATGGTGTTCGACTTTATTTTCAACATTTTAGTTTCAGCATCCTAAAGACACCTGACTAGATTGTTATTATACAGCACACACACAGATCTTTACAAGAAACATGCTCATGTGTTTTTTAAAATTGTGCCTGATGTACCAGTTTAGCATTTACTACAAATTCTTATGGTAGTGAAAGAGTTAAATGACATGGGTTTTCTTTTGAGAGCAATTTTAACTTAATGGTTTGTTTTTTTCATGAGAGGTGTTTTACAGCGGGAAAAAAGATTTTGTTGTCCTAAAATTTTAATTTTCCTCATCCTGTAATAAAACAGTATGCTACAGAAACCTGCAGAATTGGAAGCCATTCTGGCAAACTAACTAGCCAAGTGATGTGTGGTGCACAGAGACGTATGAAGATTTGTGATATAAGCTGCTCTGTTAGAGTCAAAGACCAGACATACAGGTTACTTGGCTTAAATTGAAATACTAAAATTGGTTTTTCTAATGTCCACATCATGGGCTTTGGTTTTTGTAATGTCCACATCATGGGCTTTGGTTTTTCTAATGTCCACATCATAAGCTTTAGTTTTTCTAATGTCCACATCATGGGCTTTGGTTTTTCTAATGTCCACATCATGGGCTTTGGTTTTTCTAATGTCCACATCATGGGCTTTGGTTTTTCTAATGTCCACATCATGGGCTTTGGTTTTTCTAATGTCCACATCATAAGCTTTAGTTTTTCTGATGTCCACATCATGGGCTTTAGTTTTTGTAATGTCCACGTGATAGGCTTTAGTTTTTCTGATGTCCACATCATGGGCTTTGGTTTTTCTAATGTCCACATCATGGGCTTTGGTTTTTTTAATGTCCACATCATAGGCTTTGGTTTTTCTAATGTCCACATCATGGGCTTTGGTTTTTCTACTGTCCACATCATGGGCTTTGGTTTTTCTAAGGTCCACATCATGGGCTTTGGTTTTTCTAAGGTCCACATCATGGGCTTTACTTTTTCTGATGTCCACATCATGGGCTTTGGTTTTTCTAAGGTCCACATCATGGGCTTTAGTTTTTCTAATGTCCACATCATGGGCTTTAGTTTTTCTACTGTCCACATCATGGGCTTTAGTTTTTCTAATGTCCACATCATAGACTTTAGTTTTTCTAATTTTCACATCATAAGCTTTAATTTTTCTAATGTCCACATCATGGGCTTTGGTTTTTCTAATGTCCACATCATGGGCTTTGGTTTTTCTAATGTCCACATCATGGGCTTTGGTTTTTCTAATGTCCACATCATGGGCTTTGGTTTTTCTAATGTCCACATCATGGGCTTTACTTTTTCTGATGTCCGCATCATGGGCTTTAGTTTTTCTACTGTCCACATCATGGGCTTTAGTTTTTCTAATGTCCACATCATAAGCTTTGGTTTTTCTAATGTCCACATCATGGGCTTTAGTTTTTCTAATGTCCACATCATAAGCTTTAGTTTTTCTAATGTCCACATCATGGGCTTTAGTTTTTCTAATGCCCACATCGTGGGCTTTAGTTTTTGTAATGTCCACGTCATAGGCTTTAGTTTGTTTTGCTACTGTCCACATCATGGGCTTAAGGTGCCAGACTGGTTTCTATTCATGATATTAAAACAGTTGCACACGATAGAATGAAATGGAAGAAGCCTTGCGTGATGTATGATGGCACAACAATTGAGGTCATCAGTTGACCTATGATGATATTAATCTAGCACAGTTTTTTTTTATAGGGTGTATTGGTCTGCACATTGGACATCTTGTGCAGTTATTACTTCATATATATATATATATATATATATATATATATAATATATATATATATATATATATATATATATATATATATATATATATATATATATATATATATATATATGAAAAACATATTCTTCTTGCAGCAGTATTATCATACATTGTACAGTAAAACCTTGTTAACATGAACTCACTTAAGATGAGCACTCTGTTCCAAAAAACAAAATTTTTGTCCATCAGAGATGTGTTATTCATAAAGCATCAACTTCCACACAATGTTTGAGATAGATACTGAACGTCTGGTTGCAAGTCAGGGTTCCAGCTAATGTCATACTGGATAGAGCTGGCATTCCCAGTATCGATACCATCCTGATGCAGTCACAGATTCCTTTAGCACGTCACCTTGTCCGCATCCCAGACCATCGGCTCCTAAAAATTATTCTTCTGTGATGAGATAGAAGAAGACAGATGCTCTTATGGTGTCCAAGACAAAAATGCTGCAAGGACCTGAAGGTATCACTGAAAGCCTTCAGTAAACCCTAACACTTGGTATGCTGCTGCACAAGACCAGACAACATGATGAACGTCTATTTGAAGAAGCGCAGTGACTTATAAGGCATCTAGAAAAAGGGCAGCTGAACAGCGAAGACAAGCTAGAAAGACCGGTCATTTATCTGCTGACACTGTTCCCTGCCCTCATTGTCTCACCTCCAGACTTATAGACATCCAACTATAGTTTCATGACGGATGAAAGAAAAGAGGTCTTCATCACTTGTGATGGACGAGCAACGTCAAACTTAGTCCTTGGTTAGCATAACATTTCTTAATATGAACTTTTGATTTTCAATCCATTGGAATTCATCATATTGAGGTTTTACTGTATTAACTTTAAATCGAAAGCAACACTGATTGTTTATTTCTTTTCGTGCAGGGTTTAATGAATATTGCAGCTGTTGGTCTGGAAATTGGCCATGACAATCTGGCCACTGAATTGATCAAGAAAATACAGACAATTGTCACAGACAACAAACTCATTTCTCACCTCAAAGATGAGTTTGCTAAAGGCTAACTGGAGCAGACTATATAGACCTTTGGTGGCTAGTCTTTGGCTCAGGATCTGTTTTAAGATGTCTTTAATTTGGTTTTGTTGTAACAGAGATAGATAATATCATGTAATGTATGTTTAATATGACCTGTCTCTATTTTGATATGCAGATACTCTTAAGTAGCCTGTTTGGTTGTTGTTGTGGTTTTTTTTTTTTTTTTCGAAGAATGACTGTGCAAGCTGTGATTTGTTTGGGGCTTGTGGAATTCCAAAACATGTGAAATTTTCTTCTGCTAACTTCCTTGTTTTTTTTTTTTTTTACCCTTAGAATGATTTGAAGAGATAAGATAATTCAACTGTTTATCACTGACCAACTGGCTTGCCTTGGTTAAATATTTATTGCTTTATATTTTAATAATGTAATGTAATATGTATTGTTAACGTACATTTTTTATTACATGTAATTTGTATTTATTCTGTAATAGTATGATATATATTATCCTTCTTCACTGTCACACTGCCACTCTTGGGTGAAGAGAATTATAAGACTTTGATTTCTTTGTTAACATGAGAGTGAAAACATTAAATTGCAGAGGAAGGCCAAGAAAGACATGGATAGATGGAGTTAACAACTTGCTGGAACTCAACAGTATCACTGTGCAGCAAGCTAACGAGCGCCTTCTATACCAGAAACCAATCATTAGCCGTGTCTGCGACGTCTAACAACAATAATCAGAGAAAAACAGTAGATAGATTTCTTTGTTTGGCAGAAAACACACACTGTTTCTCTTGTTTCCCCCAATCAGGATTAAAAGGAGGACAACAGACATTACTGTTAAATCTGCCATCAGTTAACAGACATTACTGTTAAATCTGCCATCAGACAACAGACATTACTGTTAAAT